TTTTTCATCTGTTAGGGTTTCGTAATGATTCGGGAAATTGTAGTTTATTAATCTGGCCTATGACCACCAAATATTCTCCTCAGAAGTCCCTTTCCTCCGATTAACAGTGACTTAGAACGGCAAAGTACCGTATGTAAACTTACTGTGTGGAGAAGATGAAGAGCACCGGATATTGAGATAGATGTCTGGCTACTCAATGCATCCTTCAGCAATTTCGTCTCAACCAAGAACAGCGTTTTTTATATTAACTAAAAGTGGGTCTAACTTAGAAAAAATTAAAGGCGTTGTTAATAAGCTTCCCCATTGTGGTTTTCAAGAGCCGGAATATTTTTATTGCTGCCAATATCTGTTGCGGCTGTGGCGTAGTTTCGAATTCTTTTCATAACATCTACAACCTCAGTTGTGCTGTTGCCATTTTCTTCCTTACTTTTTTTGAATCATTTTCCTGCATATCCTTGCACGTTTCAGCGTAATTTGGTAGCTAGTTGACACTTGCTCTGCTCCATGTTGTTGTAGTTGTTGTAGCAGTATGAGAGAATCTGGAGACAGGCGTCCGCTGGTTTTTCGAGACACTTGCCTTGTTCCACCATAGTGCCTCAACGTGATTATGTTGAATGTTGGGAAAGAAAGTGAAACAATTTTATTTTATGATGGCAACAGAGTTCGTTTCTCGAATTCTTCCTATTTCTCCGAGAAAAGGTATCTAACGCAGGTGAGGGTCTAGTATTGCATAGAACGTTGGACCAAGAGCAACGCCTTTTTCGCAAAACGTTAGATTAATATCACTGCGCTTAGTTCACTGTTGTGCTCTTTATTGCAGGAGTTTTACCAAGTCCTCAAAGTAGGCCTCAGGACAGAAAATGTTTCAATCTCAGGTGAATAAGGATCGTTAGTTTTGCTTTAATTCGAGCAGAATTCACTGACACTCGTGAAATATCAACGTCCTCAAGCAGCGGCTGAACATGAGTCGAAAGCCTCCTTGTTGGCAATGCTTGAAAATAAAGCCAATGTAGCGATCCTTGTAAATGCTCCTTAATATCGGTCACACAAAAGCATTTTTTGGCAGTTAAAAAGTCGCAATTACAAGTGACCTATTGTGCTTGCTTAAATATTGGGTGGTTCAGAATTAAAAGCGCTTGGAATATTTATTGTTTTAATGTATTTTTTACCAATGAAATATCCTTTGTGTTTTGCAAGATTAGATATTATTAAAATTCCGATTCCATGCTTCTTTTAACACGTCTTTATACTTTGTCAAAAGCTTTGAGCTTTGCAATTTTAGATGTCAGAAATTAGTTTTCGTCAAATTTTCTTTTGTGTTCAAACTCGGCCACATTGCAGCAGAGACAGCTAGAAACATTAATGAAGTTTGGCGTGATGGTCGTGTTGGTGAATCAACAGTGTGAACATGGTGCCGGAAATTCCGCTTTGGTGATTTCGATCTCGAAGGAAAGAAAGGCCGCAGACGTCCCAGTGAACATGTCGACGACGAATTGACGGCATTAGTGGAGGCAAACGCGCGAACAACTGTTGTATAGCTTGCAGAACAGCTTGGCGTAAGCACAGGATTGAGGACATGTTTGTGAACACTTTATATAACGACGGTAGCTCATAGAACAGCACTTAACGCATTCGTTCACAATTATCCACTTTTTCATCATATGTTCCGGCCAAAAACAACACTAATGAGCTTTCGCCTTTTTAAAAACAACGACAAAATCATTTGCTAAGAAGACGACTGATAAGAGCAAGTATTTTATTAAAGTCACAACATCCCGTATTTATCGTCTCGAGAACGAAAATAAAGGAAGTAACTGTGAACGATGTACACCTTTCGTTCTACTGCACCAAAGGTCACACAGTGGCCTATGGAAGACAAAAACTCTGAATCTGTAAGCTGGGAAATCTACCAAGGAAAATTACAAGACAATTTCTCCTAAAAATTTAACTATCTACCTTATGAATATTCAACGGTGAGCGTCTTCCAGAAAGGCTGATGACGGAGATCAGTCCCATTTGCAAATTTTATGATGGACTACGTTGCGCCAATATCAGTGAACTGCGGGGAGAAGATAACATAGTAATCCTCATGAGTGCAGCCATGACAGCCTGATCGCGAACTTTTACAAAAGTGTCAGTAAATGCACTACTATTAGCGTTCAGACGATTCTTTGCTAGAAGAGGAGTACCCATTACCGTCACCACGGATAACACTCCAGACTTCAGCCAGGTGAACAGGTCTTATAAATCGTTATTATTAATCCATGAATGGCGCATCATCTACAAATACAATAGCAACAAGGAAAATCACGTCAAAGGTAATCACTCATTACGCTCCGTGGTATTGCAAAGTAATACAATAGTCGTAGAACAGTGGGTTAATTGGAAACTCTCTTCACATAAATCTATTAAAGTTTAAATCGAAAAAGTGCCCAGCAAACTCATAACGCAGCAACCAATCGACTTCATCGAACGCGGCACGATAACAACATATCCATTTGGAGGTGTTGAGGAGCAGGAAAACGACACGGATTATATTTCTCTAAAGCGAGCGAGGATGGAATGCACAGCACAGTTGATGAGGTAGACCTTGAAAAAAACCATAAACTTCTTCCCAATCTGTGCTAAAGTAGCGCAGTAAACTTTACTTGCAATACAGGCCCGCTGAGCGCCATATATTACTTGTAAGGTTTCGTCGAAAAGCTCTGACGATCGAGTAGGTGGCTTGCCTGCTGCATGCTCAACATCCGGCTGGGTCCACTTACTAACTAATCTTGTTCCTCGATTGACATTGGTGCACATGAAGTTTCCAACCTAGATCGGAGTAACGGATTCTTTACCTCACTTGCGTAACATCGGAACTCCTAGCATCTTCGTTTCGACTGTGCATTCAATAATGCTGGGTGGCTTTCTATCCTAAGTGCGTAGCGCCCAGGTTTCAGACTCATATGCTTGGAAAAGAAGAGTTGTGGAGTCGAAAAGGTGGGCACGGAGTCGGGTGGTCCTTGTTCTCTTCACTAGACCCTCGGTGCGCTTAAAAGCTCTCCAAGCATTTCGCTTCCTTCTGGTAAACTGTATAGGTAAGTGCCACGACCGACTTTCTATTAACCTCGGCATTGTTCAAGTGATTTTGTTCGTATTTTTGTTGAGCAAACGCGAGGTGTTATTATTCTTTGTTCACGATTAAGCTGACGTTTCGGCGGATTTCGCCTTCTTCAGAGCCTGGAAAGGTCAAGTTGATAGCAATCCACTCGGCCAGACGCCCCCATAACCAAACAAAGAAACTGTATAGGTAAGTCGCTTATATTGTTGATTTTCGAACCTAGATAGACGTATCTGGAGCATTCGAAATTAGGTATAGAGTTGAATGTGAGTGGGGCACGCGATCACGAACGTCATTTCTGTGAGATTTAATCGAAGTTTACATAGCTGTCCTTCGACTCGTGTTCTCTCACTCCTGTTCAAAATGACTCGACGTAAAGTTTATAAACGACGGACACCGAGCACATTGACCGATAGTTGCCGATATCGTGAAGGTTATTAATCCGCAGCAATGACAGGCTTGTTGGTCTTCCATTGAGTAAGCACACTGTATTCTGATAGGTAACGTGTGAAGGGTTGGAACAGTGCTATAATGAGGAATAGCGAACGGTGCTTCAAGTTTTTATAGTTTCAAGTTTCAAGTTTTTAATCTTATTCTGTCCGGAACTAGTGTTGCTCGATTATTCACTGACGGAATAGCATGTCGGATTTTGAAAAGAAGAACTGGTAGGGAACAATATCCATCTTCGCTAATATCGTCTGAGGACAGGAAAACATGGCTATTGAAAAGATCCAAGTATTAATCGTGAATGATTCTCTTGATTGCTGTTGTGAAAGCTGTATCTGTTCTGTCTGAGCATTGAAATGCAATTTCTTGGTTTTGTAATTGGTGAGGAATTTTGCCCACGCTAATTTCGGCCTGTATCTCCTTTTTTTAGGTCTTCTGTAAGGCTACATAGAACTCTTTGTCTTCGTTTTCGTCGAAGCTTGATGTCAGTGCGTAGACGACGAAGATTGTGCAAGCCGGTATTGATCGACGTCTCTTCAACTTCCGACCCATGTTGCTAGTTTCTCGACTGAATCAATGTTCGTAGCCAGACTTGTGATGACTGAAATTACGCCGCCGAAACCTCTTCTGTCGCATGTTCCGAGGAATTGTTCTTCCTTTTTGCGGACAGCGCTGGGCAAGTGGCGTCTTTTGGTTTCAGCTAGTGCAATGATGTCGTGCCTGACCTTTTTTTTTCGCAGCCTGGTCAATTCCACTGTCGAGATGAACGACTCATAACTGCTTCCCATGTACTACCCACTGCATTCTTTGTTGGAGGATCTTTTCCAAAAATGCTTCGGACAAGCGAGAACACACTCACACACGCATAAATAAATACCCCTCCCCTTCCCCAACCGTCAAGTCATAGGATATCGGCCAATTTAGCAAAGCGTAATCAAGCAACCTATCCCCTGGATGAACTTGCGTCTCATGAAAGCGCAGAACACTTTCGTTTGCTATTAACCGCCTACCCACACCACCTGTGGACGTGTAACGTTGCCTCCCAACTAACTGCCGTGAGATCCACCTCTGAGAAAAATCCGAGGTTTGTGAATGTATATAATATTAACTCTTTCTCTGCTGCCTATTACAATTTTTGCGGCAGGGTATTATATGTGATACAACCACAATGATGATACAGGATTGTTCCGATGACGGGTGACTGCTGATGGCACTGATTGATAGAGATGGCTGAGGTACAGACAGAACCAAGGACGGCTTGGTATGGTGGAGGAATGCGTTAACCTCCGAAAAGGATAATTGCGCGTTCGTTCGCTTCGAAGAAACCTGCGCTCAGGAGTTTTGCAGACGTCTCAGTATCATTGTGGTTCGATGTATGCACATATTTTTTATTTTATTTTATTTTATTTGATCCGTCTTCACGTCTACAGTGCTGATTCCAGCACTTCTATCATCCATTTTGTTTCCTCGTATCCATCGTCCACAAAGGTCCTTCAAACTTTACGTGTGGCTTCGGTTGCTGCTTCAGGATTTTCATTTCATCTTGAATGTCGTAGAATGCTGGTCCAGCAATTTTCCCTGGAGTCCTGAGATAGCCGGGCTGGAGCGATGCCACTTGGATTGCAGAGAGTGGACCCTTCCCACAGAAGTCTGGTACCAATTTGCCGGCCCCAGGTGGATGAGAGGCATGGACAGTCTGAGGAGGGATCGAACCAGCACCGTGATCCTGATAAACGGCATCGCTACCACTGTGCTATCCAGCCCCTAAATAAAAGGTTTACATTATGATTTCGACCATAGCGTCAGACTGCATTCAATGCCGATTTGTTGTCTCCAGATCATACCCGCTGACGATTGCTGATATCACCGTTAAGTATAAAATTGGTCGAGAGAAAGGCTAAACAAAGGATTGAATGGTTGGATGGGTAACACGTGAACCTCCAAAATGGGTAGTCACGGGTTCAGTCCGGCATGAGGTCCACGTTGTGCAAATATCTCAGCATAATTGTGATTTTATCTCACATCATACCCTGCCATGAAAAATTATAATTTGCAGTAAAAAAAGCTAACATAGCGATTTCTCCCATTCTATTTCATAACGGTAAATACAGATATGATGCACTATTTTAAGCATAGTTGTTTTCTTCTGGAGAGTAGAACACAAGCGCTATTGATCAATTGAGGTCTGGATGTACTATTATAAATTAATGAACTACTGGCGTACAAATTTTGCAAGTGAAATCTCCTTCAGCTTTATCGACCTAGGAAGAATTAGCGTTAACCTCTAGTTTTTCATCCCGTATGGAGTGGCTAATAGAGATTTCCCTAAAGGCCTTGGATGACTGGGTCACTTGTGGCGAAGAATGATANTGGGTAACACGTGAACCTCCAAAATGGGTAGTCACGGGTTCAGTCCGGCATGAGGTCCACGTTGTGCAAATATCTCAGCATAATTGTGATTTTATCTCACATCATACCCTGCCATGAAAAATTATAATTTGCAGTAAAAAAAGCTAACATAGCGATTTCTCCCATTCTATTTCATAACGGTAAATACAGATATGATGCACTATTTTAAGCATAGTTGTTTTCTTCTGGAGAGTAGAACACAAGCGCTATTGATCAATTGAGGTCTGGATGTACTATTATAAATTAATGAACTACTGGCGTACAAATTTTGCAAGTGAAATCTCCTTCAGCTTTATCGACCTAGGAAGAATTAGCGTTAACCTCTAGTTTTTCATCCCGTATGGAGTGGCTAATAGAGATTTCCCTAAAGGCCTTGGATGACTGGGTCACTTGTGGCGAAGAATGATACAGAAAACGTAGAGATATTGGTAGAAAAAAATGTTATGGTCAAGTATATAGCCGATAGGAAGTGAGTGAAAGAGGACTTCTAAACGATTCGGCACATCAGTACTCATCGTCATAGTTAGCCCGTGAATTTGCCGTAATAGCAGACAGGTATGAAAGTGCTCGAGTTGTCATTAGGCTCGTTTATATCACTATTGATGTGCGCGTGGATTGATGGAAGAATCAAAGAAAGGAGAAGAAAGTTTATGAACGAAATATGAGCCAAACTCTCATCTGTTGTAACTTCCTTCCATATCAATTAACTTATTGATAGGTTATGAGATGACTTTTTAAGTGTTCAAATAGGAAAAATAGAACAGGTATTGAATTGTAAACATTAGTTACCAGTTCAATTCTCCCTAGAGACCTGACATAGCTACGCTGGAACGCTTCAAATGTATTACAGAGAGAGGCTTTCCCACGACAAGTCCGCTACCAATTTTACGACTCTGGAGTAATGAGAGGCTACGTGGGGCCGGCCCGGAATCGAATTAGCACCAATTTCGTGATGACGGGCATCACTACCACTGTGCTATCCGCTCCCTAAATATATTTAGATACATACTTATGCATGCACATTACATGCAAATATATATTTGTAATAGCCACGCATGTATATACATATATACATGCATAATTATGTATGTATGTGTATATATATACAACATTTGGCATTATGTGCATATGAATATATGTGTATTTTGTATGCATATATATATATACATATATATTTCACGAGGGTCTGCATGGGATATATATATTTTGTGTGTGCCACAGATCACCCCCATATGAGGGATCCCAATAGCCTGTTAGTCGCGAGGGTACGTGGCGCGTCTCCAGGTGGCGGATATGTGGTTAATCGCTGACCAAATGCGAACTCTGACTTTCTGGAATGCTGGAGGAACTAGAGGAAAAATTCATTATTTTTGCTGCTTCGATTTTGCACATAACCTTTCCATTTACGGAAATACATTCGTGCTTGCGTGCGTTGGTGCTTTCTCGCTCATGCGGTTTGTATTCTAGGAGTCAATTCGGCCAAAAGCCTGCAATCAAGTGAGAGGGAAATATGTGGGAAGTGGTTAGGAGTCGCCTCTAGCAAATAAGCTCCATGTCCACTCTGGAAGGGCCTGGCAAACTAGCTGTGAGCATACCCAGCCCCACGTTCAGAGCCCAGCAAGCTATACATGGGTATCAAAAAGCTAAAAACAGTAAAAGAATGGAACTCAACGGAGAGGCTGCTAAAATTTCAGGGCCAATGGAAGATGCCTAGTTTGTAAATAACTTAGGTGACGATTTCTGCCTATAATGCAAACACATTTGCGTCTGAGTCTTTGATGCAAGACATGAACGGCAGGCAAGGAGGATAAGATACGATGTCATCGGCCTGGTCGAGACGAGAATACGCCACCCATTCAACGCCGTCTATGACACCGGAGAACTGTTCCTCGAAACACGCGACAGTATAGGAGTCGGAGGCGTCGGCGTTCTCGTCAACACGAGTTTGTCCATGAGCATCGATTAATTCAGCAGCTTAGAACCCGAATCGGACGTTTACGATTAAGAAGACGTGGATCAATTCCGGCTTTGACAATCTTCGTAGTTTACGGGCCGACGTCAAGCTATGACGAAAAAGAAGTCAAAGAGTTCTATACGGACTTGGAGAGGTTCTACATAGAAGACCACACATTGCTCAAGGTCGTCATTGGAAATTTCAACGCCAAGACTGCACCAAGAAACACGTCTGAAAAATGTCACATTGGGACCCACGGATTAGAATGAAACGAATAGGGTGAGCGGCTGCCTGAGTTTATCATGAAGACCAAGACTATCCATAGTAACTCGCAATTCCAAAAGCCCCACTCTCAACGTTGGACGTGGAAGTCTCCTAAGGGAAAGCGCCATAAAGAAATGGACCACATCATAGTAAATAGAAGGTCGTCCCTAACCGATATCGCTGTTGTTCCAAAATTCTACACGGGATCATACTATCGTCTCTTTCGTGCAAGATCCTATTTCTCACAGAAAGGAGAAAAAGCCACTAAACTCAAAAACCGAAGTGCCCAGAACCACTATAAACTGGGACTTATTTACTTAGTTAGTGGGCTGCTGGGAAGATGCCGCTGTCGATAACATCGACGATTAATGCGATCGGCCGCTTCAATATCTTAACTTTAGCGAAATGAAAGATGAGAGCCCGGAAGTCACCAAGAGACGTCTGTCTCCAGAAACACTCGAGCTGATACGCCAGCGTTGAATAGCGCGAGCTGCAGGCAACCGCAAACCAACGTCCGCACTTGCAAAACAGTGCAGGCAGGCGATAAAAGAAGATCTTAGACAGGGAAGAGTATCAGTAGTGGTCGAAGGTGCAGAGGCAGAGAAAAGCATTCGCAAAACCTATTGAAGCTTCGCCAATTACGAGACCAAGATGACTGAATTCCGGCGTCCAAACGGAACGGATACAACCTAAAGAAAAGTAATGGAGAAAATCATTCACGACTACTACTCAGATGTCTTCGATAGCCACTTCCGCCTTCCGTTATATGAAATAAAGGAGGATGGATACGTTGTATCATCGGTTCTCCTTTCCGAAATCCCGCATGCCATTTCGTCGATGAAAAATCGAACAGCACCGTATCCGGATAGGATAAGTCCAGAACACCTGAAGATACTTCCGCCAGTCCTCGTAAACACACTGGGTCGGCTCTTCACACGTTACCTGTCTGAATGCAAGGTCCCTACTCAGTGGAAGACCAGCAAAACCGTGTTATTGTTTAAGAAGGGTTACCTGCACGATATCCGCAACTATCTCCCAATCTGCTTGCCGTCTGTCGTCTACAAACTCATCATTCTACTGAACCTAAACAGGGTTGACAGAGCCCTGGACGAAGGACAGCCATGAGAGCAAGCAGGGTTTCGAATAGGAATTAGTTCGTAGACAACATACACATGATAGCAAGACTCATCGCGAGATTACAAAAAAGCCGCTCTGTCTCACTTTGACCGATTTAAAGAAGGCCTTTGACTCAACTGAAATAGAAACAGTCACGAAGCCCTTAATAGTCACAAGGAGTCCTTCGCCAAAATTGTTTACCGCCATCCTCCAGAAAGTCATGCCAACATTGGAATGGGATAATATGCGAGTGAAAATCGATGGTCGGAAGTTATACTGTCTTCGCCTTGTAGACGTTGATGACATCGTCCTTATAACACCAAACATTAGCCAAGCGGAACGTATGCTTGCCGACATTGACAAAGCCTGTAGAAAGATTAGTTTTGGAATGAATCTCACAAAAGCAGTGTTCATAAATCCTAATGGTGGCGATTACCTGTATCACCTGTAGTCCCGATGATCGTCGGCTGACTCGAGCGGGCGCCAGTAATCCTTTCATTTTTCCCTGCCAATTGCAAGAGTAGTACAGTGGGTTCTGCTCACTCTAGGGACTCGTTGGCCATCATACCTTTCTTCAAGGCTCTTTGTGAAAAACTCTGACCATCGGGTCGGTGGTCTTACTGCACTATGTTTGACATCCTGTGGAATCCACTCGCTAAGGGCTCTTGTCGGTTGTCATTCATGCGCATTACGTGTCCGGCCCACCTTGCCTTGGACTGTTTGGCGTACAGAACGCCATCTTTGATTTTTGATCATTAACGCAAATCGAAGCTTCTGATCCCATCCCTTACCTGTGTGAACGAGATACTCATAGCATCGTCCTTTCGACTGCGCGTTCGATAACGCTGCGTGACCTTTTATTGATTTCCCGACCTAGATAGATATAAATGTTCGTTTGACGTTTTGGAGTGGCGGTAAATATTTTTGGCGAGACGGTATCGCCTTGCCTAACTCCTCTTTTAACGTTAATGTTAATATCGCTGTAGAATGGTGTTATCTTGGTTGTGAAATTTTTGTACAGCTCACGTAAAATCTTTACGTACTGAGTAGGGAATCCTTTACTATCAAGGACTTCCAAGACTGCTTCTATCTCAACTGAATTAAAGGCCTTCCTATAAATCGATGAAAGCGAGACAGAGCGGTCTTTTGTACTCTCGCGATACTTCAGTGAGCCGCGTTACCGTGTGGATGTGGTCCATCGTACTAAATCCTCTTCGAAACCCTGCTTGCTCACATGGCTGTCCTTCTTCAAGTGTTCTGTCAACCCTGTTTAGGACGACTCGAGTGGAAATTTGTAGACGACAGACAGTAAGCAGATTGGGCGATAGTAGCCGATATCGTGCAGGTCACCTAGGAACAATAACACGGTCTTGCTGGTCTTCCACTGAGTAGAGACCTTGCATTCAGACAGGTAACGCGTGAAGAGCCGAGCCAATGTATTTAAGAGGACTGGCGGAAGGTTCTTCAGGTGATCTGATCTAATCCTCTCCGGATCTGATGCTGTTTTACTTTTCACCGGCGAAATCGCATATTGGATTTCGGAAGGGAGAACCGGTTGTACAACATATCCATCCTCCCTTATTTCATAAGACGGAATGTGGACGTGGCTATCGAAGAGATCCGAGTAGTATTCATGAATGACTTTCTCCATTGCCTTTCTAGACGATGTAACTGTGCCGTCTGGGCCCCGGTTTGCAATCATTTTAGCCTTTTAATTGGCGAAGCTTCGGTGGGCTTTGCGAATGCTTTTTTAAATGAGCAGATCGCGTTCTTCGTCGATGTTAGCGACAACGCTTTCTTCCCAACAGCCGACTAGTGAGTTGAATAAGTTCCAATATACAGCTGATTTGGGACTTTATTTTTTGAATTTAGCTGCTTTTTCACCTTTCTGCGAGAAATGGAGTCTTACACCAAGGAGCCGGTGGTCTAATCCCGTGTAGAATTTTGGAACATCAGCGACATCGGTTAGCCAAATCCTTCTAATTACTATGATGTGGTCTATTTCGTTATGGAGCTCTCGATTGGGAGACTTTCACGTTCAGCGTTGAGAGTGGGGCTTCTGGAATTGCGAGTTACTTTGGATTGTCTTGGTCGCCATAATAAACTCAGATAGCCGCTCATCCTCTCTGTTCCATTCTAATCCATATGTGACGTTGTTCAGACGTTCTTCTTGGTTCAAGCTTGGCCATGAAATCTCCAATGAGGACCTTGAAGGATGTGTGGTCTTCTCTGTAGAACTTCTCCAAGTCCATATAGAACGCTTCGTGCTTCTTCTCCGTCATGGTTTGATGTCGGCGCGTAAACGACGAAGATTGTCAAAGCGGTAATTTATCCACGTCTTCCTAATCACAAACGTCCGATTCCGGTTGTAATTTGTTCGAATGAATCGATGTTCATGGAGAAACTCGTGTTGACGAGAACGTTGATGCCGCCGGCTCCTCTACTGTCGCATGTTTCTAGGAGCAATTCTTCTCCGGTGTCATAGACGGCGTTGAGAGGCTGGGGTCTCCTCGTCTCGGCCAGGCCGATGAGGTCGCACCTTATCCTTCTTGCCCGAATGAGCAAGTCTTCTATCGAGGACTCGGATGCGAGTGCACGTGCACTGTAGGTACAGATCGTCACCATAGTTCTTTGAAATCCAGGCAGCTTCCATTGGCCCTGAGATTTTAACAGTCTCTTCGTACTCGTCCTACCCAACACTGCGAAATTGGGGACTCTTTCGGGGTCAGGGGAATGAGGCCCATTTTTTTTACTGTGTTTAGCATTCTTAATACCTACGTATAGCTTGTTCGGCTCTAAACGTGGAGGCCGGGTATAGCCACGGGTAGCTTGCCAGGCTCTCCCAGAGTGGACATGGAGCTTATTTGTTGGAGGCGACTCCTAACCGCCCCCATATACTTCCCAGTCACTTGATTGCAGGATTTTGGCCGAATTGACTCCAAGAATGCAATCCGCATCCCTCATATGAGGGAGATCCGTGGCGATAGTTTCGCGAATATCACCTTCTTCAGGCAAACAGCATTACAGTTGTGAAAAACCGAAACAAAGGTCCAAGACAAGATTAAACGAAAATTGGAGCGGAAAATATTGGTTTGTTGAATGTTAAGTACTATTCCGTTTGCTATAGAAGTGATTGCCACCACCAAAATGCAGGTAATTTTTTTAGGTAATTAGCGAAAAACCGTATCAGACCATGAGAATCTGTTCGGTTTAGTCGAGAGGTCCCTTTTTCCGGCAGGGAGAATCGCCGTGAACAAAGAGATCGTGCCAGATGACGCAACTACAATGGTATTTATTGCAGTGTTTCACTCCACTCCACTCGAACTAACTCGACGCAACTACTAACATACGAATTTTCGGTGCAGGTAGCTTTATCAGATTTTATTCATTCAAAAGATTCCCAAAATTCCTGTTTGACCAGTAGCCGTGCTTTCCTCTACCATTAGTTCGCAATTCATAGAAAATTTTCAAAAACCAGCATCACCAGTCATATCTGAGTTTGTTCACATAGTTCTCTTACAGATTTCATCTTCTTGCCTTCTCATTTCAGAAAGCAGAATTAAAGTACCGAGCACTTCAAGTGACGACCTATAATCCTACAGCACTCACCTTTGTTATATATCTATGAAGCAATAAAATTTGTGGAGCTCGGTTTGCTGCCTGAATATGGTGCACACGAATTTGGGTATTTTTCTGCCCAAATTACTTCTGGTAGTACCAGTATGTGTTTTGTTTAAAATCTAGCTTTTGTAGGTTTAGAAGTAGTAATTTTGTGAGAATATATTGTTGTCATGGTCTCTCGTCGTTACCTAAGAAAAAACAATATTGCGTAAAAAAATGACGCCTTCAATCAGGCGAAATGTCTTGTACCGTCTCCATAATAGAACGTGAAACTTACTTATTTTCCAACTTTTCGTACTCTTACTACCCCTTCAAATGTTGCAAATCACGTGCCAAAAACCAGTAAATCTCGGAACTCCACTGGTGACCAGCACTAGTATCGAAGGGCTGAAATTAGTGCCATTGAGGTTCTGGAATTATTTTGAGTAAAAGGCTATGTCTTAACACTATTCATCGAAGTTACTGTGTATAATTTGAGACCTCGGTTGTAAATCTGTCAGTGCTTGTTCCATCATTTTATAGTAGTTATGCACATGGAACAGAGCAGGTAGCGCAGTAGCAGTGAGAGCAACAGTTATGCGGACGGCGCGAAGTGCCCAACCTCAGGATCGCCCATTCTGGCCCATCGAGCTCCTGATCTCTTCGGAGTTCGGGGAATTACTATCAGACCTCCTTGAGACCAGACCATGTCTTTCATTCTACGTGGAAATCCACCAAGAAGGCTATCCCAAAAGTCTAGGTAGAATCGATTTCATAGTAACTTCATTAATGGGCAACTTTGTGCTTTCATGATGAGGAGACAGAATGTCGTTAACATAATATTTGTTCCAGCGCGGTAAACGTTTCGGCGAATCTCGCCGTCTTCCAAACCTGTTGAAGGCTACTTTAGAAAGTATTACGTTCAGCCAATAACATTCACGACCCCGGCGAAAAAGCTCAAAACACAGATTTCAATTAGCATTGCACTTATTGGCGGAGACAGCCTGTGCAGGGCTCACATGGATGAAGTTCTTACCTAAAGAAGCGTTTCAGGAAGGAGTCAGAAACACGAAGACGTCCCAAACGAGTATTTTATACCTTCTTTGTGTCAATCCAATAATCTAAACAATTCTAATCCTTCTTGCCGAGGTTTGAAGAAAGTCGTGTTCTAAGATTCAGGAATAATCCAGCGCTCGTGCAGTGGGGTGGTATACATTCGAACAAGTGGACGAATGCTACGTTTCTAAACCACAACGTTCTACCCGTTGGCATATCTACACAATCCTGGCGAAATCCTAACGTTAAAAGGTGATGTATAAAATTAGGATATAGTCATGCTTCGATATCAGATGGCGAAACAACCACTGGTCTTGAACCCGCAACTTGGCCACTCTTACCACTCTCTGCTTAAAATTATCTGCTTAGTTTTGAACTGCATTTTCCATAGTGGGATAGAAATGAAAACCAGCAATCGGGGCTAACTGAAGTTGTAATATTTTTGGATCTATTAGCTCCCGAACTTGTTACGTTCCATACTTTTGCACTGGTGCGAGGGTGGTGCTTTTTTTTTCAAGTGAAAGTGATCAAGGAATTGGAGAGAAAGAATGCGCGAAGTTTATATCGACTTCACCGTAGGAATTTTGTTTTGTAAAGAACGATTTGCGGAAAATGGAAAGATGTTAACGGCCTTACTTCTTATTTTTCGGCCTTATTTGATTTCTCTAATCCAGCTTTATAACTGTGTTCATTCTGAAGCTTAACAGTGCATGTGATCCCAGGAAAGGTTACAATAGAAATGAGCCGATGTGGTGAGAAACTTGGGCCAAAAGACTACCGCTACTTGAAGGAACCTTCAAGACATATTTGCATGTGTCCTACAAAAAATGCAACGATATTGAGAATATTCTAGAGACGATTCATAAGTACCGTAACTGTCCGATTTTGGCGTCACTCCTCGACATCAGTACCTCTTTAGGGATGCGGAGTTAAATTCGAGGAGTAGCCAAAAGACAACTCAAGATAAATTGAGCTCAAAAAGCTCTTAGGAAAACAAGAAACACTTTGATAACCTGTGATCTTTGATCCAGGAATGTAAGCCACTATGGAAGTTCAGTTTCCTCGGCTTTTGTCTTAAAAACTCGGTGGTAGTTGGCCCTAGTATGAATGAGGTGCAAAATTTGGCAAGTGAGTTCATCGACAAGGAAAGAATTTCCTGAAGAAATGATATGGAACTCAACAAGCTCTTCTTGTTTGAGAGAAATTGTGAGCGATCGCGTTCAACTGCATTTGTATAAAAACGTAAGTAATGCACAATAAATCTCTATTTCAAGTTCCACTTCAATCGTTTCTCCTCGTGGATAAAAGCAGAGATTTCTCCGCTTTCAACCAAAAAACCTCAATTTCTTTCCGCAATGTCAATATCAGTCTCGCTGAGGGAAAAATCCAGCTTTCCTTTTTAGTTTTTGAGTTGTCTTAAAGTTCTATTCCACCTAGTCGAAAGCGCTGGAACTATACAGTACCATCGACACCTTTTTGCAGCCATGTTTAGGTATATTACCACATAGGCGCGTTTGGCGCAGTGGTCGGAGCGGCAGTGCAACACACACGCGGAATCGATCCCAGCGCCCATGGCCCACCAAACCTTCCATCCCTTCGGCGTCAGCAAATTGGTACCAGACTTGTCTGGGGGATAGTAGCAATGGCTCGATACATCGGTAGGCCACAATGAGTCATAGTAAAGACCAGACATAAATTCAATCACTTCCAAACTATAATTGATGAAGTCGAATGCTTGGCGCAACCCTCAGGGGTTGATGAACGCCGGGAGCTTCATCGTTTTTTATTGCGGCATACGCAGCACATGAATCGAATAAATATCAGAGTTGTCAGCACGGTTATCGACCTACTCTTGATGACCACATTCGTTGTTTTCTGGGTCTGTTCTTTTTAAAAATCCGCTCTTTTACCGAAATATTCTGCAACTTACTCGAACAAAGCGCTCAGGAATCTGGCCATAGTAGGGTAAACGAATATTTTCCGTAGCGCTGCACTAATTTACCACCAATTCGTATTTTATGTTAACCAGTGGCAATTTATGTTTTGTAATTGGCTTATTTAATCAATTCCTGTAGTACTGCATCACCAAAACATGTACAACCCATCCCTGAATCTTGTTTAATTTCTTATGATCGCTTAGGCCTATCTGTTCCATTGAGGCGGCTTAAACCTTTTGCGCCTTCCTTTCTTATATTCTGCTATTACGTCCCAAGGGGTCTTTTCTCACTAAGTCGTTAAACGCGCAATAATTGGCTGTTTCAGTAGACTGCCAGAACGATCCAATCTGCCAATGTGTGATGGTTACCATGGTAAAGTGTCAGTTTACGAATTTCGAACATCCTCGCAATGGTTTGCCGCCTCATCATGGCTGTGAAGTGTTCCTGGGTGTCGGGCTGCGATGGCGGAGACTCATCCCCCCCCCCCCCCCCCCCCCTCCACCCCGGCAGGGACTTCCTAGTTGACAAGGAGTCCTGCTTTCCATCAGGAGGCCTAGCTAAGGGTAGGTCAATATCAGGATCCACCACCATCATGGCATCGAATTAGTCGCGTGGTGGCAAATCTCCCTCTGATGCACAAGCACTTTAACTGCCTGTGGTGGTGACGACCTGGAGCCAGGCTGACTTCGGGACTCCAAGGAAACAATAACTAGAGCAGCAAGACTCCGCCAGAGTGGAGATTGTGCTGAGGCTCGCACAACCGGTGAGGATGGGTCGCCAAAATATCCAAGTATTTCGAACATAATGTCCGAATTGCAACGTTGCCTAAATGGTACAAATGTGAGTTCCGAAAAGAAAACGCAGTTTTCCGAATGGACGCAAAACTAATTTCCACCTATATCTCTTTGCTAGGGCTCGTGTGGCCCTGTGGTCGGATGCGCCCTTCAATACACACTTTGAATTGGTCCCCGTCCCCATGATCTACCAAGCCCTTCCTTCCTCCGGGGTCGGGAAATTGGTACTGGACTTGTTTAGAAGGATCGCAGCACTGACTCTATACATCGGTAGCCTATCGCGAGTCATTGGAAAGGCCAGATATGCATTCGATTACCTCCAAACAATGCTTAATGAAGTCGAAGGCATGGAGCATTTCCCAAGGATTGATCAAAGCCGAGAGCTTTATCCTTCTTTCCATGGAACTGACTTACATCTGTGGTAATGTCCAGTTAAATATCACTGTAAACTTTGTCTTTTCTGCTCTTTTGTCTGGTGGATCAAAAAGCAGGATAGTTGTAGTCGGTGGTACACGATTCCTCCTAGCTTTTAGTTGTAGCGCACGGATATTTATGCAACAAAGCAAGACGTCCATCTATTCTTAAATGGCGAGCCAGTTTCACTATGCATATTTCAAGGTACAATTCTGTACTTTGAATAGACATTTCCCAACAACTGTACTATGCACAACAATGGTTCATTCTAACTACTTCTACATCATCTATCAAACTCCTTACCCTCTGACTTATTTTAAGATCCGACGTGCATCCCCCACTTTTTCTCCTCCTGTAAACCTTAACCACAAAATAATATTTCAAAATTTCAAACGTTTAACATAGATAGGCGACAATTTTAATTCGCTCAGTTGGTAAATAACCTCTATGTTGCAAACTTAAAAAGTGAGAGTGAGCACATCGACGGAAGTACAAGAGAGCAATAATGTCAAACATCAATTTATAGACCCCATTCTTCACAACACGACGGAAAATTGCGAACACATATCACATGGAAAAAATTCATGTAGTTGAAAATAAACATCTGCTCATAGAAAAAAACGTGGTACCCAATACTAAAAGCTGAACGTTAGAAAGGATCGTAATCACCGGAATCATTATTGCATTCATTATAATTTGTCATTTCGCGAAAAAAAAAACACCGAATTCACTTTGTACACATGAGGCACTACCCATCCTAAACTATCCATACGGACGAATCGATTTTAACTACTGAAAAAGCTAGTGGATCAACATCAATAAGAACAGTACAGCAAATATATTTCAACACTAAGATCTCCTTGCGAAACAGGCATAAATAGACTACGATGCATGCGAACGAAGATCCTGGTGCAAAAAACGAAGGAATTTTGTGGGATCGTGAAAGAACATAGTTCAGATTATTAGTGAAAATTCAAAGACGCGAAGTCTCATTGTCACCACTCCGAGGTTTCGCGGGAAGAGGCGGCTTATTACGTGCTGGCAATGGAGGTGCCTCGACCGACACTACCGTTTTGAAACTGAAACATTTCGATGTGTACAACAAGCAGTGAGATAACAATAACATATCTGATAAAAAGCAACAGATAAGCAATCATTCTATACCATCTAGGGTAATATGACGTTGAACGTTACCATGAAGTGCCGTCTTCCTTATCCTTGTATAACTTGACATAGTGATAATTTAGAAGAAAGAAACAGCTGTATCTTTGTCAACTTTTGCCTTTTAATTCACGGTTTTTCAATCCCAACATTGCCTCACCGTGACCCTTCAGGTCTTCGAGAAATTTTCACTTTCACTTTCATACTTGCAGACCAACGCCTAGCTTTCAGAGGTATACACGAATTTTTTCACAAATAAAGTACTTGAGGGGCTGGAAATAAGATGAGCTTATATGAGACACTTTATTCTGTGTCAAGGATGTACATGAATTTTCTTAAGTACTATGTAAAGTTTAAACCAGCCCTAGAAAATGCTAATTTTCAAAAAATTCCGGGAGGACAACTGAATTTTTAAGGTTTCTGATAAATGCTAGTCAAACTGCTGTTAGTGTAATTATTTCGCTGTTAAAACTGTCAACTAAACAAGAAGGAACTACGTTGTCAGCTCCAGTAGATCGGAATTCTATCGGTGTAAAAAGAACTAGCACCTTGCTGCCTCAAATAGCTAATTCTACTTGTTTTAATTTCATTTAGTAAAATTCACTACAAGGTGGTGTATGCTTGTTTAAAGCTGCAGAGTGGAAAATTTTCCGGCTACGTATGACTGCAGATCAATTCATACCGGCCACTCTGTCCACCGCATATACGCTGAAAACAATGACGTCGGACTGTAAGTATTAATAATTCTATGCACAAACAAAACTAACCTATTCGACACGTCATTCCCCACAATATCCTCTCGATTCAATATAGTTGGCCGCTTAACGGAAGCTGATCCATTATATGATGATGAACTTTCCACAATTACTGAATCACAAAGACGAGTGCGGGGAGCGGGTGCTGGTTCCATACCAATTGCTTTGTTATAGGACACTGGTCGGCTAGAGTGGGGTTCTACCTCGTTTCGAAAAGTCTGGAAATGTTTGAAAAAATATAGGCAACGTACTTCAAGAGAAGTAAAGAAAAAACGTAGAAAGTAATCGCACTGGTGGTGGAGGGCGTCGTGGAATCATGATGGCTGATGCAAGAACATCACCCTGACTTCGTGACATACTTTCGGGAACACATTCGTCCTGGTACTCATCGAACGAATCATCTGATTCTTGGGCGGATATAGGCGACATTATGAATGACTCACTCAACTCAGTCCCTATTAGTAATTGGCCTGAAATATCGCTGTGAACTACATGGCCTGAAGCATATGTAGGTGAATGTACCGCATATTATGGATTCCTAGCTTTTAAACATCCCGAATAGCAAATTATACGCCATAATTAATAATAGTCAACGCAGCACTGAACACATTAGACTTGAAACAACCGCTTACTTTGATCAATGTTAAGAGCGTTTCTTGATGTCATCAAGGACTGCGTAGACGACTCATCATTACATCCATCAATTAGATCAGTCAGAGAACCTTAGTAAAACATATGACCGGGTAATAATTATAACTAGAAACATTGTCGTTTTTCTTTTTTTCTCACCTTCACAACTTTGGATCCAATACGAAAGCCGTGCTCTTTTCTGAAAGATGAGACGTCAGTGAAATTTACCTGTCTTAGGTTGAGCATGTGGAGGTGGAGGTGCACGCTCTTTTGGTCTTCCACGTGGTGAAGTAGCCCAAGAAGTCATATTTCCAGCATCATGCCTATACATTTTCATCAATGTTTTCACAGAACCGTCAAACTAACAAGGAAACAATTTTAACATAAATTGCTACTTGGATCAGAACTAAAACGAGCAAATCGTCTCACCTTTCTGTTGATTGATTCAGTTTTGCAGGTATATTCGCATCTACCGTAAGACCTCTGCACACTGTTCTTTGATTATTTTCTCCACCATCAATGTTACAATTGTTCACGACAGGACAACCGAAAAGACGCGACGCATTTTTCAAGAACGTCTCCACAATCTGCAACAAAGATAAAATATCATCGGTACAAAAGAGCAAGTAGGACAAAGGGAAAATTTCAATATAAGACATCTACAATAACTAGAAAGAATGTCACAAGAAAATGGATAACAAGTTCTAGAAATGAGGAAGCAAAGTGATAGTATTCTAAGAAAACTAAATAATAAAAATAGATTCTCTTACCTTAGTACCTATGGAATTGTTTCCGTCAAGGTCGCCACCCAATAAATTCGGACCAAAGACAATGGCAAGATTACCACAGTTCATACTAGAATACCAAGCTAACATCTTATTTCATCAGCAAACAAAAAAGAATTCAAAATGGATAGACCATCAAAGAAACATACGCAGTCTGCTCTTGATGTTGCAACATTTCTGATAAAAAACTGATAAGGTAAGTCAGGTTATGACGGTTACACGCAGGAAGTTCGCCTATGCAGCGCTCGAACGCTTGGAGTTTCGCCTCATCCTCCAGTCTAAACTACGCCCAATACACTATACTGTTAAAGTGCAACCGAAGGAACATGGAATTCATGATACAGATGAAAAGTATCCCGGACGTAAAGTAGAAGCGATACCTATGGTTGACGTAATATGGTACTAACTTGGAAGCGTTCACCCAATCGTTATGAAGGCGATGAGTGAGCAGAGGATCGGGCAATTCTCTTAAGTAACTCTTCAGTACGCTACAAACGGAGTGCGGATCGAGATAGTAAGCACGCTCATCGATCTATAAAGTAGAACGTTAAGCTAAAAACCGCACATAACATCTAAAGCAAAAGCAAACACACGTCAATTTGCCCAGCATCAAATGCAGCTTTCATGCGCCGAATCTTTGTGTTGTTCCCATTGACCCGGAAGAGACCTATATTCAAGTTAACAACGACTGTCAGAAAATGTGACAGTAAGCCAAACATATTAATTTCAACTGATAACAGGTTTCTTCCTCATGAATGATACACTGTCTCAGATGAATGACTAAGTTCTAATGAAATTTACAAACTTTATGACTCTTCGTAGGCAAGAGAAAGCTAGATATGGGAGAAAGGTCACTGAGTGTGGATAAGAAATAAAATGAGTGCGAAAAACGATCATGTATTTGTTTTGAGACCTAAAAGGACTCAAGGGACAGATTATCTCTGCCATGCCGCACTGATTTACATCCTCCGTACATATGTGACTCCTCCTAACGATTTAGAGCATAACCGTGGCTGGAAAGTGTTCCCGACTGCCGGGCTGCTATATACAGCGTGGAGATTCATCTCCCTGGCATGATCTCCCAAGCTGAGACGGAATCCAGTGTTTCCATCAGGAAGCCCAGCTAAAAGTAAACCAATAACAGGATCCGTCACCGTCGCGGTACCAAACTAGTCGCATGGTGGCAAATCTCCCTCTGATCCACAAAGGTGGCACCTGCTTGTGGAGACGACGACCTGGGGCAGACTTTGCCCTGGTTGACCTAGGACCTCCAGGGAACCACAATGGATAAACCAGCAGCAAAACTCCGATAAAATGGAGATTATACTGGGGCCCGCACAAACAGTGAAGATGGGCCATTCAAGTTATCCACGTATACATACGTGACCATAAATGTACCTGTGATCATATGTACGCATAGACAGAAACGATATTCAGGATGAATGGATTTGTTCTGATGCCTTAAGCAGACTCAACAGAACAGATATATGTGAGCCATCCTGCTTTGTAAATCTGTTTGGGAATAATCCGCCTCGCAGAGAGAGAATACAAATAACCACCATGTCCTCGCTCGAAGATCAAAAACACTGCTACGTAGAGAAAGACATCAAAAATCAAGTGGATCTGGTAGGTAGGACAACCGCAGTAAAACACCCATCAGCAATTGCATGTTACGAGATATCGGGCGTCTAACAAAGGGATCCTGAACGCGACACACATCCATCTCAATGAAAACAGTAAACAGTAGATCTAATAATCTTCTTGGCCCCTTAGTGCAAAGCAGTACACATCAGAGCTTTGGCAAGTAAGCATCAACTGGGTGCTCGACTAGCGCATCCATTCACTCGACAATCAACACGAACATATGTGATATAGATTGGTGTAGGATGTGTTTAAGAAGGCACATTTTATGAACCTAATAAGCGGCAAGCTAACAATAAGTATTAACCTCAATTTATTTGTTTATATGATCTTATACACTGATCTTCTTTAAGTGATGCGAGGTTGGTATAAATCTCCATTGTCGTTGTCGGTGTTGTTGTTGCTGCTGTTATTGTTGGTCGATGGCTGACGTTTCGGTGATTTCGCCTTCCACAGAGCAGTGATGTTACGAGTGGGACTCTGAGTGAACAACAGCAACAACAACAACAACAACATCGATAATGAAGACCTATACAAACCTCGCATCAGTTAAAGAAGATCAGTTTATAAGATCATATAAATAAATACATCAACTATCTATGCCGAGGTTTACAAAAAGTCGGCCTTTCGAGTTATTAACTTCAATATTAGTTTTAGCAGAATTGCTCCAAGTGTTCGAAAAAGATGGACAGAAAAAGCGTGTTTATTTCGGGAATGGATCCATAATAAGGGATGAGGTCGATTTCTAAGGAAAAAAGTGGAATAACGATATATACCTTTCTCGGTAAAACCACTAGCTCTTAACATTGTACAGCACTTCTCCAGCACGACGGCAACACGACCTTGCGTGTGTCGAAGATGCTCGCTTAAATCAACCCCGAATACTGGCCGAGGACGAGCATTGTCTTAAAAATATGCTGTAAAAACAGATGGGATTGTAGCCCAATTATTTGGTACTTGTTTAACTCAGTTAAAATCTGCATAAAACGCTGCAATGAACATCAAAAAATAAATATGAGGTATTGTTTCTTAATGACTTGTAGCTTAGTGGTAAAGATGAAAGAGTAAAGAGATGCAAGTAGAGTTTATATCCAAACCAGAAAAAACTGAAGTGCTTTTTGTCACAAATGTTATGGACACACGTTGCCACACGTTTACATTATATCACAGAAAACTACGTCCTCACCAATGTCTCGACGAATGTCAGGTAAAACCATCTCAAGCGTCCGCATTGCAACTCGATGAAACTCGAGCTGTTCTTCAAGTAACGCTGTGAAAACCTAAAAAAAAATACATGCACTACTGGAAAATGTAACAACAGGAACAAATACCACATTGAAAACACAAGTCGAAATTTAGAAGGACGACCTTGGAGATTTCTTGCTCTTTGGCAACCAAGGAGTAGACATCCGTGATGGTGTTGTTCTAAAAGTAAAGTGTTTTTAAGAAAACAAGTACAAAAAAGAGTAAAATGAATATACGTGGCATTACAGTAAGCATCAAAGATAGATTTGAAGCAGCAGACAAAACTCCACCTTTTGGTTCTCAAGCTTTAGTTGTGAAGCATCCAAAGTGTCCTGAAGCTGTGCTATATTGCTGCTAGCACTATCCGCCTTTTCCAAAGCCTTCTTTGCGATGTCAACATCTAAAATAAATCTTCGCCTATTCAGCAACAAACACGACATTTACCATTTCGAGATGATCTTATATGATACACGCATCATTCTTCCCGCAATTTTCATCTAACACGAAACAAAACGCATTTAACTATCCCAACCACAAAGAAAAATCCAAAAAACAAGCGTAAACACAAAAGTAGATGGCTCATATTCCTAAAAAAAACACTAGAGTGAAAGAAAATCCGTGACCAAAATACCAAAATACACCTGGCAAGAAATGAAGTTTTCTGCCCAAATAAAATCACAAAAGTAATGGAAGGCATACTCAGAACCTATGATGATAGGCCGACCTCGTTCACTAGGTTAATAACTCTAATGTGATAGACACGTTTCCTGTTCAAATTTGATAACTTTGGTTGCTCCCTAATGATTTACCGCCCAATTGCAACTGGGTATGCTCAAGGACTGAGATAAACGGCGAAAACTCAGCAAGACTTCCCAAGCCCAGAATGACTTCAATAATTTCACCTAGGAACTGAACTCGCGGTGACGACAAGTTCTGCGTTTCCAATTTCTTCCTAAGAGTATTAAAGGAAAGGGGCTCGTACAGAACTGTAATGCTTTTCTCGTCTCTTAATTGAGCAAGCGGAGTACGATGAACAACTCTGATGAGTGAGCGAAAGGGGATTAATGGAGTTTACTCGAAACAGTAATAAGTTAATTGATCACAAATCTTAACAGAGGGTGCACGCTAAACTGAGTCAAAGGATCGCACATTGCACACTGAACTGACCAGTGAAAGCATTGCTCAGCCGCTCTCTGCTCTTACATAGTGCTTTCTCCATCTCTTGAAATTGAACCAAATCGTCAAGAACGCGCTTTTCAATCATCATATCATGCTTTACCTATAACGAAAAGACTTTATAAAAATGGTTAAAAACCAGAACTTCCCAACTAAGTAAATGTTGGCTTGTAATTAATCTGGGATATAGGACAAAAACAACACAAACTTGAGATTAAAAAATGGCTTCCCAAAAAGTGTTATACAGCTGAAGTGAGTTTATATGAGTCTATGAAAACGCTAATTAGGCCTTGTATGAACACGAACACATAATTTCCGAAGAAAGAAAATGAATCAGCCTAGAGATAAACAACGCGTTCATCGTTGAGTAATTCTAAAAAAAACAAAAAAGCTTCTCCAGCTATTGTAAACTGTGGTGCAATCCATGGAATGAAGATCTGAGGTGAAGCTAAGAAGAAAGATGCTACACTTATAGCAGGCATTAAATAACACGGTTAAGCCCACCCTTCTTTTCGACATTATATATATATATATATATGTATATATATGAACATATCAATACATACGTATATATGTATATACGTGCATATATATGTTTACGTATACAAGCCTTGAAATCATTGAAGTAAATCGTCCACATTGTGAATTTAAAAATTGTTCTCTCACCTTCTCATCTACAACAACTTGTAAGGCCTGACTAATTTTCTGGATGACTCTGTGAAGACAAGTGGTGTGCGATGCCTCCAGATCGGTTGAGATATCTCGCAAATCAGCGCACAGTGCAAACTCATCGAGCTTTTTCTACAACAAATAATGAAATTTTAAACCATTCACATAAAACTGTGGGCTAACTGGTGTACTAAAAAGCGAGACATGTATGCGTAAAACAACTTCACATCAAAAAAGCTAATAATATCTGTAGGAACACGAGGAAATGGAAATTGAAACAATAACGCACTCGACGCTTATCGACGTTCTCCTCACGAAGTCCAGTCTTAACTGTGTTTGAGACATGCTTTCTGTATAAGGAAACGGCATTGATGACTTTCTGATTTCGCTGCTCTAAGGCGTTAACGATTTTTAGGTCGTCATCATCCTCCTTCTTGTTTGAACTGAACGTTTTAGGCATAAATAATAAGAATAACAGTAGCCCAGAAATGGGTACCTGGTTACAGTAGGCGATCATACGAAGAGCGAATAGGCACAAACGAACTCACTTCACAAGATTATGTCTGATTCGCCGAAACTTTTGACCAACATCCTTCTTAGCCTTCTCCATAATAAACGACGTGCAGCATTCAGAGCTACAAATGATCCTTATTATATCGAACTTGTGCAAAAAATAAAGGATTTGAAAACTCGAAACGGAAGAACAAGTTTCGATGAATTGTTAAAGGTCATGTCGATCATTGAGTCATCCAACACCATGCACATCAAATTCTCACTGTACCAGACGAAGCACGATAATCGATTTCAGCGGTTTCCACGCTTGTCAAACAATATGGATAATATATTATTCTCTGCAAAACGCTTCATCTGTCAATATACCAAACTTTAACGGTGCAAATTTCCTACTGCACTTTCGAAATTGTCAGCTCTGATTGCGAAGACGAAATCGATTGACGGACTACACAAGAGAGAGAGATAAGAGCTGTGATAGACCGACGTATGCAATACAGAGCATAAATCGTTCCTGATCAACTGATCTCATACTTACAACGTTGGACACCACGTAACAGAAGGCACTGGGACGAGATCTGGCACCCAACGAAACCTGTCGGGGCCATCGACGACGAGAGCACAGACATGCGGAGTCGGACAAGTCGGACATGGACGCAGCGTGAGAACTGAGTGTTTGAATAGATGATAGTGACGACGTGAAGTGACTGACTCACACGGTGCATTGTCGATTGAGTTCTCTTCCAGTACATTGTTCTGGTAAATTCGTGTGCAAGACGTTTACTTCGAGCGCTAACATTTCCTTGTAATTTGATATCTCACTATCTTAACGGAACAACTTCGAAACACTAGGGCATCACCGAGAGGAATCTTCATAGACATAGCGCTTATTGGTGAAAGCACTAATGGTATTCTCTTTAACTGTTAGAGTTTTACTCTTTTTTCAACTGCATTTTAGAAGATATAGTATGGCGTCTTTGAAATCGGCGTGAAAGTGAACGAAACATCCTATTTATGGCAAAAATTGATGCTTGACTTCACGCCAAGGATGGTAGCTTTAAAACGTTGAAACATTTTTGAGCTGTATTCTAAACTTGGAACTATTTCTCCTTTCTTTTCTGATTTTGCACTTCATTGACTAGTAAAGAACCATGTTGAAGATGCAGAAAACTCGTTGTTATACATTCCGTGAGAGGTGCGTGTAGCGCAGTACTCGGTGGCGCTCTGGAATACACATGGCATCGATCCCGCCTCCCAGTCTCACCAGGCCCTCCAGCCCTCCGGGGTCGACAAATTGGTACCAGACTTGTTTGGGAGGATAACAGCACTGTCTTGAGACATCGGTAGGCCACCGCGAGTCATTGTAAAGGCCAGGTATGCATTCAGTCACCTTAAATAATGCTTAATGGAGTCGAATGCATGGCGCATCCCTCAGGGATCGATCAACGTCGAGAGTTCCATCCTTGATCCTTTTTATATATTCCGTGATTTTCTAATGAACTTGTAGTAGATTCGTAAATTAACAAACAAGAATAGGTAATTATAATAGTAATGCCACGAAATATTGGGATACTTATAGAGGATGTACATGGTTACACGGTTAGGCTAAAGAGCAGGAAATTCAAGTAGTACGGTCGTTCCAGTTATGACTTATCCCTGCTAAACGCTTATGGAATGAGACATGAGCACTAAAAGAAAACCTTTCTGAATGTTTATCCACTAGATTAGCAGAAACAAACTGAAAATCGCAACTATAAGTGAAACTGTGAAGAAAATGAAACCATAGCTAGGTATTAGACAAAGTGATCTGCATTGATTATATGAGTGATATGTACAGTTGGTCTCCTTGCGATTTTATCAATTATGGACAACCCAGTACAATTACAACTATAAGCCAGTTCCTCGTCTACACGATGGGGTTAGAATAAATCTTAGACAGCCGTATTTCTCTGCACCAGCACACAACACGCTATACAAGCCCTTGGTGATCATGAGTCAGATCAACAATTTTAGTGACATGATCCCTCATGATCATGAGTCAGATCAACAATTTTAGTGACATAACCACATGGACATTTTACCCAGATTAATCTTTTGTGCTGAGCATGAACAGAGCAGTAGAGAACATGCTAATCAAAAATGGGCACATGGCCGTGGTTCACCACCACACACAGCCGTTCGTCTTCCATTCCTCTGGGAGCAAGAAATTGGTACCACACTTGCCTAGTATGCTCCTTTCAACCCACAAAATGTAGTACAACTTTGTGGTGAAGACCTGTGGATGCGATATCACAGCTATATCAGGATTTCATCAAGAGTCAACTCAACCTTTGCTCAGCGAGTTTCCTAATGATGATTAGAATCCTCAAACAGCAGCCGCATTCACACACAAATATGAAGATCGACAGGGTAACGAATGCGAGGAAACCAATCGAATAAGTAGTGTTGGGATATTTATCTGATGGTTAATTATTATATAATCTTTGTTCATTTGTTTCGATCAGGATGGAATTTCTTTGGTCACATTGAACAATGCAGAGCTTTACGATTTAAAGCGATTCTGTTTCGTCATATCATTAATTCTACAGGGCGCCCTCGTCTCATATGAATTATTCATGACGTTCAACAATTTCGAATACGAGTGACAGCCAGGAACGGCGAAATCCCTACACACCGTTAACAAAGAGCTTCAGATCGATAGCTGGAGTTTAGCCTCATCGATTTGTAAGTGACTGAGCTTTCTTTGTTCACATTCTGTTGTGCGTGAGTCTCTCAACTTTTTGTTAAGCTTTAAACTATAACTGACTCTATTTTTTGTCTTCAAAATAGAACAATAATAACTATGCAAATTTGGAATCCATTTTTTCTGCAAATAACAAGTGATGTTGTCCATGCAAAGGACACTTTGAACTTGCAGAGCAAAAAAGTCGTGGAACACTCATAACAATGAGGAGACATGAGAAAACGAGTCGTACTCAGTAACAAACCCAAAAAAAGGTAAAGAAAAAAGATGAACACTATGCACACGAATAATGAACTGCCTCGAAAGTCGTTGACTAGAACATAGACTTGTTAAGCTTCATGAATGAATTAATCATGTAACAAGATGTGTCATAGGATATAAGAACGGAACATTAAATAATCAATATCTAGGAAACTGTTAGGAACAAGGATATTATGATGACATTCCCATGGCTTGCTTTAGATCTAGGAAGTGAGATGATAAATCTAGAACTTTTTCCGACTTGTCGGCTTGATTTCATGCGATCTGGCCCAGGTCTGTTCTTCTGTTAAGAAATTGGAGAACGAATCGAAAAACCACAAGATTTTTTCGTCCTTGGTGATATTGTAGTTCCTGAAATGAGTACGATTAGACAATAAAATAAAAATTCGTCAACACATGAGCTTTATTTTATCGGATATGTTTTCTCTGGATATCTAACACTACGAGTATTTCATGAATTTCTGTTTTCAACTCACTGAATACTCGGAGACATCCTTCCTACTACTCGGTTAAAAATTCGCAACAACGTGCATTGGCTTCAATGCGGGTCTCCGTGAACAAGACACAGCTTTCGTGTTTCACCACGAAGCGCTGGTTTTACAAAGTCCGAGAACCGTTTCTTTTATGTTGCTTCTATGTTAAAGTTGGTCGTTAGAGTAGTGAAGCAAGTGCGGCAAGCTAGGCTCTCCTACGTTTTATGTCCTTCTGTTTTCAAGTCGTCTCCATTCCAGAAAAATTATCAATATGTAGTGCGAAACCAGTACGGTCTCGAATTTGTTAAAACAGGTACCCAGGAAAACGTGTCCAGCGCTGCTATCCTCAACATGGAAGATTATCATAGCTATGGAACCGGTTTTCCGTGGCGAATTTTTTCCGTATATCACTTCAATATGCAGCAATTGTTGTTGCTATGAAGGAAATGCCGTCAAAAACCAAATGTAACACCATTTAGATGCAAGAAATCCGATTGAAGAAAGACGTTGATGAAAATGATGAGAATTGAACTGGTAACTAATGTTTACAATTCAATACCTGTTCTATTTTTCCTATTTGAACACTTAAAAAGTCATCTCATAACCTATCAATAAGTTAATTGATATGGAAGGAAGTTACAACAGATGAGAGTTTGGCTCATATTTCGTTCATAAACTTTCTTCTCCTTTCTTTGATTCTTCCATCAACCCACGCGCACATCAATAGTGATATAAACGAGCCTAATGACAACTCGAGCACTTTCATACCTGTCTGCTATTACGGCAAATTCACGGGCTAACTATGACGATGAGTACTGATGTGCCGAATCGTTTAGAAGTCCTCTTTCACTCACTTCCTATCGGCTATATACTTGACCATAACATTTTTTTCTACCAATATCTCTACGTTTTCTGTATCATTCTTCGCCACAAGTGACCCAGTCATCCAAGGCCTTTAGGGAAATCTCTATTAGCCACTCCATACGGGATGAAAAACTAGAGGTTAACGCTAATTCTTCCTAGGTCGATAAAGCTGAAGGAGATTTCACTTGCAAAATTTGTACGCCAGTAGTTCATTAATTTATAATAGTACATCCAGACCTCAATTGATCAATAGCGCTTGTGTTCTACTCTCCAGAAGAAAACAACTATGCTTAAAATAGTGCATCATATCTGTATTTACCGTTATGAAATAGAATGGGAGAAATCGCTATGTTAGCTTTTTTTACTGCAAATTATAATTTTTCATGGCAGGGTATGATGTGAGATAAAATCACAATTATGCTGAGATATTTGCACAACGTGGACCTCATGCCGGACTGAACCCGTGACTACCCATTTTGGAGGTTCACGTGTTACCCAACCAACCATTCAATCCTTTGTTTAGCCTTTCTCTCGACCAATTTTATACTTAACGGTGATATCAGCAATCGTCAGCGGGTATGATCTGGAGACAACAAATCGGCATTGAATGCAGTCTNNNGACAACTCGAGCACTTTCATACCTGTCTGCTATTACGGCAAATTCACGGGCTAACTATGACGATGAGTACTGATGTGCCGAATCGTTTAGAAGTCCTCTTTCACTCACTTCCTATCGGCTATATACTTGACCATAACATTTTTTTCTACCAATATCTCTACGTTTTCTGTATCATTCTTCGCCACAAGTGACCCAGTCATCCAAGGCCTTTAGGGAAATCTCTATTAGCCACTCCATACGGGATGAAAAACTAGAGGTTAACGCTAATTCTTCCTAGGTCGATAAAGCTGAAGGAGATTTCACTTGCAAAATTTGTACGCCAGTAGTTCATTAATTTATAATAGTACATCCAGACCTCAATTGATCAATAGCGCTTGTGTTCTACTCTCCAGAAGAAAACAACTATGCTTAAAATAGTGCATCATATCTGTATTTACCGTTATGAAATAGAATGGGAGAAATCGCTATGTTAGCTTTTTTTACTGCAAATTATAATTTTTCATGGCAGGGTATGATGTGAGATAAAATCACAATTATGCTGAGATATTTGCACAACGTGGACCTCATGCCGGACTGAACCCGTGACTACCCATTTTGGAGGTTCACGTGTTACCCAACCAACCATTCAATCCTTTGTTTAGCCTTTCTCTCGACCAATTTTATACTTAACGGTGATATCAGCAATCGTCAGCGGGCATGATCTGGAGACAACAAATCGGCATTGAATGCAGTCTGACGCTATGGTCGAAATCATAATGTAAACCTTTTATTTAGGGGCTGGATAGCACAGTGGTAGCGATGCCGTTTATCAGGATCACGGTGCTGGTTCGATCCCTCCTCAGACTGTCCATGCCTCTCATCCACCTGGGGCCGGCAAATTGGTACCAGACTTCTGTGGGAAGGGTCCACTCTCTGCAATCCAAGTGGCATCGCTCCAGCCCGGCTATCTCAGGACTCCAGGGAAAATTGCTGGACCAGCATTCTATGACATTCAAGATGAAATGAAAATCCTCAAGCAGCAACTGAACCCACACGTAAAAACTTGGAAGACTTTTGTAGAGGATCTATGAGAGGAAACGAACAGGTTGTGAGATGTTCGGAGATCCGCACAGTAGACGTGGAGACGGATCAAATAAAATAAAAAATTATTCTTCTTATTCCCAGACTATTCCCGTTGATAGGTGATTGCTGATAACACTGTTAGTTCGAAAAAGGGATGAGAAAAAGTCAAAGCAAAGGCCTCAGTGGTGTGGTGTGTAACACATAAGCCCTAAAGGTGATCGCGAGTTCGATCTCTGGGGTCCAAGTTTTTGAAACATCTCAGCACCATAGTGACTGTGTAGAATGGAAGAACACACAATGAACTGAACTGGATTGTAAAAAGCACTAATGGTAGGTTTCTATGATGCCGAAGATAATACAGCGGAATCAAATTTGTTTGAAAACAGCAGAAAAGTAATACACATAAAACATCTACTAAACAAGCAAGCTCTAAAATTATATAATAGGAAAAAATAGAGCAAAAAGATTTATCGTAATTTAAACAAGTGGAAGTGAAAACATAATGACTTCATCAGGTGAACCTCTTTTCCTTATATCTTATTTCACAGATATACTTTGTAGTTACATTAATATCCATACCAGCACTTCACTATGTAGATGAAACACGTCTAGCTTAATGAGATGAAAAGAAAAAGATTTTTGAAACCAACTTGGCTGACGGTTGAGTGCACATGGCGCTGATTGTCACTTCCCGTAGCGCGTAGTAGAAAAACTACACCAAAATTGTGTCTTTAAGGCAAGATTACTCTATAATTACTATGTTAACCCTTTATTCCCTGTCTACTGTAATTTTTTATGGCGCAGTATTATGTGAAATGGAACCACAATGATGCTGAGATATTTGCAAAACTCCGGACGGCATGTTTCTGCGGTGGGGAACGAACGCGCTATTACTCTTTCGGGGGGTAGTAGTGCGTTCACCACTATACCATGCAGGTGCTTCATCCCACCATTCTTTCAGCTAGTTTTCTGCCTCACGGCACCATCACCAACCACCCGTTAACGGGATCGATTTGGAGAGCACAAATCGTCCTTAAATCCAGCTAAGCTGAGGCTTTACTTCCTACTGTATGTATTTCTTTTTCAAAAAAAGGATAAATATTGCCTTAGCAGTCGAGAGATAGTTTGGAATCACTTAACGTTAAAAGATAAGTAACTCCTAGAGTGGTGACAATGACGATGAAAAATTTCAGCTACATGTTCAAATTTCTTAACATTTAGTTAGAACTCAGTCGTAAGTAATCAGTAGTTACTCACCATCGTTTCATTTTGCGAATGCTGTCCAGGATTGCGTACTGATGCCATCGCTTCAAAAAGTTCACCAAGCCTCGTCTACCGCCACACCGCTCGGCTGCCAGCATATCGGAATTACCGGCGTGTACAAATGTGAGATCCTGTAGGACGACACCGCTGAAATCGCCTGCTAGAATTCAATTCCTTTTTGCAATTCAATTCCATTAAGTATTTTTTCACGTGTACAATGACTACAGCTAAAAGGCGCACAACGATTAGATAAAGCGATGGAAGGTACAAGATAAAACGTTCGACGATGGCCGAGTGGGTTGCACCACGCATTCAATTCAATTCGTAGCGCCGTAGAGGTGATAGAGTGCGTATATGGTCTATACAATCAACTTTACTAGGGCCCGTAAATGCATCATGTCAACGTTTTATCTTTTCATACAAGTTCGGCCCCAATTTGTCCACTCGTGGGATTTGTCTAACTAGTGCACAGAATTTCAGAACCCAGCAAGCTATACGTGGGTACCAAAATGCCAAACACAGTAATAGAAACGGGCCTCATTCCCTTGACCCCGAAAGGGCCGCCAATTTCGCAGCGTTTGGTAGGGCGAGTACGGAGGGATTGCTAAAATCTCAGAGACAATGGAACCTGCCTGGATTGCAAAGAACCAAGGTGACGATCTGTACCTACAATGCACGTACACTTTCATCCGACTCCTCGATAGAAAACTTGCTCATGCAAGCAAGAAGGATAAGGTACGACGTCATTGGTCTGGTCAAGACGAGACGACACCGCCCATTCAGCGCCCTCTATGACACCGAAGAAGAACTGTTCCTCGGAACATGCGACAGTAGAGGAGTCGGGGGCGTCGGCGTTCTCGTCAATACGAGTTTGTCCAGGAGCATCAATTCATTCGAACAACTTACAACCTGAATCGGACGTTTACGATTAGGAAGACGTGGATCAATTCCGCCTTTGACAATCTTCGCCGTTTATGCGCTGACATCAAACTATGACAAACAAGAAGTTGAAGCGTTCTATATGCACTTGGAAAAGTTCTACAGACAAGACCACACATTCCTCAAGGACATCATTGGAGAATTCAACGCCATGCTTGGACCAAGAAGAACATCTGAAGAACTTCACATTGGAACCACGGATTAGAATGGAACGAACAGGATGAGCGGCTATCTGAGTTTATCATGGCGACCAAGACAATCCATAGTAACTCGCAATTCCAGAAGCCCCACTCTCAACGCTGAACGTGGGAGCCTCCCAATGGAGACTACCATAACGAAATAGACCATATCATTGTAATTAGAAGGATTTGCCTAACCGATGTCGCTGTTGTTCTAAAATTCTACACGGGTTCAGACCATCGCCTCCTCTGTGCAAGATTCTATTACTCGCGAAAAGGAGAAAAAGCCGCTAATTTCAAGAACTGAAGTACCAGAACCACCATAAACTGGGACTTATTCAATTCATTAGTCCGCTGTCGGGAAGATGTCGTTGACGATAACATCGAAGAAGAATGCAATCGGCTCATTCAACACCCTCACGTTAGCGCTATGAAAGCTGAGAGTTCGAAAGTCACCAAGAGACGTCTGTCTCCAGAAACATTCGAGCTGACATTGCCAGCGTGTAATCGCACGAGCTGCAGGCAACCGCGAACTAACGTCCGCACTTGCAAGAGAGTGCAGACAGGCGATAAAAGAAGATCTTAGACAGGGAATAGCATCAGTAATGGTCGAAGGTGCAGAGGCAGCGAAAAGCATTCGCAAAGCCCACCGAAGTTTCGTCAATTACAGGACCAAAATAATTGCTCTCCGGCACCCAGACGGAACAGTTACAGCGTTCAGAAAGGTTATAGAGAAGATCATTTACGAATACTACTCAAATCTCTTCGATAGCCAGGTCCACCTTTCGTCATATGAAATAGAGGAGGATGAATATGCTGTTCCACCGGTTCTCCCTTTCGAAAACCGACATGCCATTTCGTTGGTGAAAGATAGAAGAGCACCAGGTCCGGACAGGATAAGACCAGAACACCTGAAGAACCTTCTGCCAGTCTGCGTAAACACACTGGCTCGGCTCTTCACATGTTACCTGCCTGAATGCAAGGTACTTACTCAGTGGAAGACCACCAAGACCGTGTTATTGTTCAAATAAGGTGACCACCACGATATCGGCAACCATTGCCCAATCTGGTCACTGTCTGTTGTCTACAAACTCCTCGCCCGAGTCAGCCTAAACAGGATTGATAAAACACTGGTCATCATGTGTGCAAGTAGGGTTTCGAAATGGATTTAGTACGATGGGCCACATCCACACGATAGCGATACTTACTGAAGTATCGCGAGAGTACAAAAGTCCTCTCTACCTCACTTCAATCGATTTCAAGAAGGCCTTTGACTCAAATGAGATAGAAGCATTAATGTAAGCCCTTGATTGTCAAAGTGTCCCTACTCGGTACATAATGAATTTTCGTGAGGTGTGCAGAAATTTCACAACCAAGATATCACCATTATAAAACGATGTTAACATCGACATCAAAAGAGGGGTTAGGCATGGCGATACTATCTCAGCAAAATTGTTCACCGCCACCCTCAAGAACGTCATGCGAACATTGGCATGGGATAATATGCGAGTGAAAATCGATGGTCGGAAGTTACATCATCTTCGCTTTGTTGATAACATCATCCTTGTAACACCAAACATTAGTCAAGCGGAACGAATGCTGGCCGACTTTAATAAAAGCCTGTGCTATGATTGGTCTTCGACCAAATATCAAAAAAACGGTATTCATGAGGAAGAGATTGGTTTCGTACGTCCTATTCATGCTCAACGGAACGAATATCTCCGAATGCTCCAGCTATGTCTATCTAGGTCAGGAAATCAGCACGTTGAAGGACTTAGCTCCAGAGTTGAGCAGGAGGAAACGAGCGGTTTGGGGAGCTCTCAAGAGTATCGAAGATGTGGAGAAGAGGACGAAAAACACCCAACTCCGTACCCACCCTTTCGACTCAACGGTACTTCCTGCCCTAACGTATGCGTCAGAAGCCTGGTCGCTTCGTGAACAGGATGAAAAATCACTCAGCGTTATTGAACGCGAAGTCAAAAAAGGACGATGCTAGGAGTATCCCGTGTCACGAAAGTAAAGGATGGAATTCGAAGCTCCGACTTGCGTCAACGGTCAAAATCAAACATGCCGTTCTATACTCCAAATAGTCGAAAGTGGGCCGGACACGTAATGCACGTGATTGACAACCGATGGACAAGAGCCGTTAGTGACTGGATTCCTCGTGGTATCAAACGCACTTCAAGAAGACCACTGACCCGATGGTCAGAGTTCTCACGAAGAGCCTAGAAGAAAGATATGATGCTCGACCAATCCCTAGAGCGAGCAGAACCCACTGGTGATACAGTGCGGAGAATTGAGCTAAGGACCCTATTTTATTGCACGACACCTCTAGCCACTGCGTTACATGAGCTAATATCTATTAATTCTAAGTAAAAAAAAAGTGTGCACGCCTAATTATCATAGCAAAGGAAGTTAAAAAGGATAAAGGATGAAGCGTTCTGCGTTGATCAGTCCTTGAGGGATGTACCATGCAATCAACTTTACTGAGCATCATTAAAAGTGACTGAATGCATATTTGACCTACACAGTGGCTTGCGATGGCGTACCGATATAACAAGTTAGTGCTGCTATCCTCTCAGGCAAGTCTGATAGAAATTTGCCGACCGCATAAGAATGCAAGGATTGATGAGCCCAAGACGCAAGATCGAACCAATGACAACATGTGTAGTACAGAGCACCTCTAACCACTGCGCTAAAAACGCCCGGCGAAACATGTTATTCAGTTAGAAATAAGCTTGTAGAAGCTTTCACACAAGTAAGCGTCTCATAACTTTGAAACACATTATAAGCATTCTTGTATTCCATTTCTTGTGCATCAGAGATGATTGTATATAAGGAAATTCAAGAAGTTATGTATGCATGCAGTGACGATTTAATTCAAGATTGTATCTTCTTAACTCCTCCACTTTACAAAAATAATGAAAAGATATGTTCGTGTATAGTAACACATGATACCCGGAACGTACGCACATGTACGGAACCGTGGGCGGTGACGCCATTTGTAGCAGAAGGCGATAGTTTTTATACGAATGAGAGGTGTCCATCACTTCGGCATGTTCCCTTAGCCCATCTGTGATAGCTTTACTCCAATCCAGACGTGCCAATGGACTTGAAACCAATGCCGATAACAGTGCCAAGTACGAGTTGAAATTGCCGAGTTGTCGCAACTGCTGTAATAATTTATTTTTATGCTTTTCTTTTTGCGGCACATAAAAGTGTGTTTAGGACATAAAAGAAAGAATAAAACTCTAGGCGTTGATCAATCCCTGAGGGATGCGCCATGCATTCGACTTCATTAAGCATCGATTGGAGGTGAGTGAATGCATATCTGGCCTTTACAATGTCTCGTGGTGGCCTACCGATGTATCGACCCAGTGTTGCTATCCTTCCAGACAAGTCTGGTACAAATCTGCGAACCCCGGAGGGATGAGAGGATTGGTTAGTGCGGAACAGGTTCAAACTAGCACCATGCTCCTGATGACGGGCAATACTACCACTGTGCTGCCCTCCCCAGGTATGACAGATATTCTCTCCACTTTTTTGCCATGGCTGGAACTATGAATAAAAAGGCAATTGACCGGGCAAGGTTTCATCCAAGAGAACGTGATATTTGTCTTCAACGTTTTGTTGATGCATGCAGACGACGCTCTTGCGTTAAAAACAGAAAACTTTAAATTCTCGCTTCCTTTCATTTTTTTTATAAAGATTCTGTTTCTAAACACTACGAACTAAGATAGGACTATATAAAAATTATATACAGGCTTAAAGCGATTCGCTACGGATTCTCTTATTAATCTGTGAAATTCACAACTGCTTAAGCACTCTAGTAATCGAGAAATTATCTTCGATTATTGGTAAAACCAGCTTCTAGCAGTTTATTACTAATGCTCAAAGCGTTATCGGGCTACAACCTAGAGATCTGCTGAATACAACTTTTATAAAACAGTTAAAAAGCTTTTTTCATTGTTCCACCACGACAGATCCACGGCATCATTGGTTATAGAACAAATTCGTTAATGATCGAACATTCATTGAACCTAGAAGTTTTAGCTTTTGATATCTTTCTGAATTTAAAGAAAAGAAATGTGTTGGATTGTTCGGAAATTACCTTACGATTCGCGATTTTATCTTTCTTGTAGATGTTTTTGCTGTTTTTGGTTTGCATTGTTTTGCTTCTGTTTTTACTGCTCGAAAGCTGCATTATTACATATCCTTGTAAAGCTTATTTTATGCATTTTCGCTCTCTATAATTGAATTACAATATAAGTTGTTGTGTCTTTAACTAGTTTTAAAGGTTGAGACTTCTGATTTTAAAATAGAAATTCCGTGGGGTCTATTTATACGCACCTCATTCTCGGTAGTATGCAGCGCAAACAGTTTGAAACATTAATGAGCTTTTGGGGCGAAGCAAGTGATAGCGAACCCACAGCGCCACGTTGGTTCGAAAAATTTCGTCGTGGTAAATTATGGCTTGAAGATAAAAGAGATTGCCGACGTCCTTCTGCTATTGATGTCGGAGGATAGAAGACGTTGGGACGAGTATGTAGAACAAATACACCACGCACAACTGCTCGAGAACCTGCAGAAAAACGCTGTGCAAACACCTCCACTGTATCGCAGTGTCTAAAGAACATTAGAAGATGGAAGAAGCTCAAAAAATAGACGCTGCACGAAATAAAGGATTATCAAAGAAATCGCCCCTTTGAGGTATCGTCGGTGCGTTTTCCACGCAACCAAACGACCCGTTTCACCACCATGTTCTGAGAAACGATAAGAAATCGTTCCACTATGATACTATGACGACCGTAGGAGACAGGTTTAATGATTGAACCTCCATGAGGACCCTAAGCACTCTTAAAGCCTAAATTGCATTAAAAGGGGCTAATAGAGCTGTAGTGGTGATGCTGGTCATGACACCCACATTGCAAGTCCGACCCCGCACCGGGCTCACCAAGTTTTTCATCTCTACGGAGCAAAATGATTGATAACAGAATTGTCTGAGAAAAGGCTATTCTATGCAATCAACGTGGGAACGCTCTAGCCCGACTATTTCAGGACTCCAGAGAGAATCGACTCGACCGGTAATCGACGACGTTCATTACCAAGGGAAAATTCTTAAGCAACAGCCGAATCCACATGGAAAAGTTGAAAAACCTATGTGAATAATGGATGAAACGAATCGAATGCGAGAAGTGTTGGGATCCGAGCGGTAAATGTGAAAAAAGGCCGTGTAAACAGATAAGCGAAATAAAACTGAAACAGAAAAGGTTATTATGAGTTCGAGGATCTATAGCTGGTGTGATCCGTCGCAGCTACCTGGATCCGAAACACACAGCTCTACGACAAGTAAATGGACAAAATGCATCACAAACTACGACGGCTGCTTCCTCATTGGTCAACATGCGTAACCTATCTGTGTGATTGCCTAGCTAACGCTGCAAAGGTTGAACGAGCTGGATTACGAAACTCTGTCTCATCCACTATACTCGCCAAACCCGCCGCCAAGCGGCAGCGACTTCCTTAAGCATCTCAAGAACTTTCTGTTGCAAAATTCTTCAAGAGCGAAGGCGAGGCCCAAAGTGCGTTTGAGGACTTCGCCACCTCCACAACTCCAGTTTATGCATTCGGCATATAGGAAATCTTCCTTTGGTAAAAATATGTACATTTAAAGAGCTTCTATTTTGACTAGTAAAGTTTATTTCGAGCCGAGATATGCCACTGTAAAGGTATGTGTTAAGATAAGATATATGTATGGTAATATCATTTCAGACAACCTAGCGACTGAATGGTAAAATTTCCGCCTGTCAATCAGATTAAGCTTGTCCAGTTGGGTTTTTATAACGGTTCTAAAAAACTATGGAGATCGTAAAATTCTAATGTTAAGGTGGAAACAGTTGCGAATGCCGCTAACCTTCATAATTTTGATGAACTTCAACATGTACTTTTCCCTTTCCTTACTGTTAGATGGTGTTATCACCAACGTTCGCACCCAGAATGATACCTGAAAGAGAGATGGCACTTCCGATGAAAACTTCAAATTAGTACGACTGAAAGGTGCAAAAATTCGAACAAACGTTATTGAAATGTTCGGTAAACGCGACCAAATTCGGACTTTTCATCTCGTCTTGTTCTTGTGCCCACCAAAGAAGTTCAGGCGGCTGGAAAAAGAATTCATACTATGAGTTAAATCAAGATGCGTTCTGCGAAACAAAAAAGGAAAGCATAATGTAACGATGTCATTCAACAACAACTTGAAAAATTTTTCATCGAGTCGCCGACGATTACCTACGGGACCTGCTACGGAAAGCTCTATCACCACTATGTGAAGGATCTCAAGCAAAAACTTTGTCCGACCAGCAATTAACCACCAAAATGAAACCTGTTGTTAGGCTAGCAGTAAATTCGTGTCATCATTGAAGTCAACGTGCCACATCAAGGTACTTTCTCGTCAATAACACTAGGAATAAAGGTCGTTCTATAAGTAATATGATGTCTCTGATCACTCTGCTGCGACCACAACGAACATTTGGTGCGACGAACAGACAGTTATAGAATTTCCTGGTCTTGCTGGAGTTTCTCAATCAATGGAGTATAGGTGATGCAGGTTGCGAAATCAAAGGCTAAGTGGTAATAAAGTTACTTGGACGTTTAGTACAAGGAGTTCAAGGACAAAGATTTAGTACGTTTAATGCAATAGAAATTATTAGAAAAGTAATGTAACTGAGAAACCGACACATCATGAGTCTATCTAAAACTTGGGTCGATCCACAATATCAAATAAAGATATTAAGTAGCTCTTTGAAAATAATCGCATTTAGTGTGTAGAATGTGCGTAAAGAATGGAATGGTTATGAAAACATTTAACGAAAAAAGAATCTAAGTAGTAGTAGAGAAAATGGCTCTGTATTCTTTCTAAAATGACTGCTACTCAGTTACACTAAGAAATGGCCAAGCTTCTAGACGCTTAAATATCTTGAATCAAGTACACATATAAATTAAAATTCGCCAAGATATAGTGAAGCACTTGACGGATGCTGGTCTGGGTTTTCAAACATTCATGATGCTCTTTAGTGCGCCAGATTTATTGTGGACATTAACCTCAACCGATGTTTTCCACTGGTTACTGCGAATGTAAGTCGACAGTTTCTAAATTTCGATTTTATCGTAAATGCGACGAGGAGGAAGGTACGAAAAAAATTTGAAATAATGAAAAATAAAAGCGAAGAACAGAGGAGAACAGACCTCGATGAGGTGAAATAATTGAGCATCTATACATGTCATTTGACGAGCAATATCCGACGATCGAAAATCGAACAGTGTGTATGTCCTAAGCAAAGAAAGAATTTTTAGGTAGAAAAAGTAGAAAGCAATTTTAAACTCGGATCAAGTTAACTTCGAAAAAAAAAACTCATTATAAAGTAGGAAAGAAACGGAAAAAAAATCGTATTCACTTCCGAGGCGGTGTGATTTTTGACACGTATGGCGGCGACGGTTTTGGTGTAACAATTCGATCAAGAAGACGTTTTCTGTAAGAAATGATGAAAGTGGTCTGAAAGGAACTGACGGATTCATGCCAGGTATTTTTATTTTCGCTGTGTTCATAATGAAGAAGTTAAGGAAACTGGATAGGAGATGATATCACGGAATGACGTAATACAATTTAAAGGCTAGTGTAACGTAATAATCGGGTCAAAAATAAGGAAACTAATAGGTGCATATATTACAATAAATTCTTAAAAGTGAAGGCAAAAAGCTGACCGGAAATACGAAACAGGGAGCCAAAGCATTGCAAGCTATGCCTCTAGTTTCAGTTAAAATGAGAATATCGTGAGAACCTAATTCAGTATTTCGATAGCAACAATTTTTTTCCCAGTTTAAGGATGAGTGGCTGCTTTTGCTCATATTCAGGTTCACAGCTTAGGTTGTGGTTATATTTGCCCTAACGCAAACAATGTTCTCTTATATGCATAAGGAAGCTTTCAGAAGGTAAGAAGCAAGTCTAGTGCGAACTTTTTTGTTTGAATCAGAATCCGATTCGGAAGTATTTTCATATGAAAATGATATTTGCACTTGGAAACCATGAAATTCTAGGCTGCGGGGGTGAAAAGACGTTTCTAATGCGATGAATGGTTGGTGAGTGGACAGGTTTGTAGATGCTTGTGAATACCACACATTGCGTATAGACATAAGTTTTCTGAACTATTACTTATATTACTCGTGAATAAAATTAAAGAGCTTAGTGATCCGTAAGCAGAATATAACTTTTGAATTGATTTATTCGACTTGTTGTTTGTACATCGATTCGCCTAAACTCTGTGTGAGGCTAAGTGACTGAATGATTGCTGATGGCAAAAGATCAATAGAACTAGCTGACAGACAGGCAAAACGAATGACCCGGATGGTGTGGTGGTGAAGTGCGCTACTCTCCGGAAGCGACAATAGCGCGCGTTCGTTTCCCACCGCATACACCTGCGGTCCGGAGTTTTGCAAATATCTCAGCATTATGTACTAAGTGAGTGAGCTTTTCTTCGGGTGTATCGGACAAAATTTCAGGTTGCTTCCAACAAGGAGGTTCGAGGTTCTATAATAAATTCGGAATCTTCCGACATGCTGCACCTCAATAAATCTAGCCTACTACAGCAGGACACAATGAGATCAACTTTTGGCTATCTTTTCCTCAAATGCAGGAGTAATAAAGTTTTCTATAAAAGAAATAAGGAGAGTGGAAAATATTCTCGTCTATTTCCTTGATTAAATCGATAGTCAACGGTTTGTGGATGATACAACTGAATATAAAATACATGCAGTTCCTTACTCGTTTGTTCCCAGTCTAAGTAATTCACACGATATATTTAGGAATGGGGATTCACTGATTTTCCATGGTTGTCGAATTCAAGTACTGTGTTACAAAGTCTCTTTGATACGCTGGCGCTTAGGTTTTTTCTTCATTTCACATATCTTGTAAGATTTCCAGATGTTCCACACTTTTTGAGAGCCCTTTGTAATATGTGTACGAAGAATAAAAATCGTCGATAGCGTGATTTAGTGGGTTTCTGAACACATTAGGCCTAGACGTAAGTAAGTGCCTTATATATTATACAGATCTAGCAAAAATGTTCACATAGTTTTGTTTTTTCTTCTTTATTCCAAATACACGAAGAATTGCAGTTTTGTTGAGTAGAATACATTCAAAATACCTCAGAAGCCGTGCATAGATAAGGTTTCCGTCGTGAATGAGCCGGTAAACAAATGAAGTTACAGTGTGCACAAGTGCTTCACTTAGCTCGTAACTTGTCAACTCGTCTACTACTCGGACTAATATGGAAAATGACAAACGAGCAGCAGACTGTGATGCACGATCACCAGACATGGACATATACACGTATCTGAAGCAAATAACGATACGTTAATCAGTTTAAAGCTTAAAAACTTAGTGGAATAAGCAAAAACAAAACAAACCTTGTGATTAATTTATTAATGAGATCATGAGAACAAATGAATGTACGATAAGTAACAAGGAATGCCTCTTGGAAAAGTACTGACGCGTTATGCTCTGTGGCGTGCACAACCAATGCATCTCGTGGACCACCTCGAACCTTGATAACAAGAGGTACTAAAGACATTCCACTATTAGGGAAATGCAACGAATTTTCACTTCAGGTGGCTTTGAAACATCGTCACGCGATCGCATTACAAGATATTCCGACGCGTCCATAGTGCATATCGTTTCCGGAACATTCATAATTGCACGCCTCTCTAGCCAATCAATTGCTCTCTGAGGAACGTGGTCGTCCTGAATGATAAATCCTCACAATAATGCAAAAAAAACAGCAAATAGTAGAGAACGCTGAATATTACTTTTATGCACCTCTTTCTCATCTTCTACCCACTTTATTGGTAGTTGAAAAGGTCCAAATTCGGCATCTTGCAATAAGTCGGAGAGATTGGCGAAGTCAGGAGTTACTCTCGATGATCCTAAAGAAATTTAATAGACTGTATTAGTGCATTAGATTAACAGCAAGTAGAAAGTTTAGAATCGGACTACTTTGAAAAATGTTACGGGTTTATCAAAAAAGCTATAGTAAGTAAGATTACAGTAAGAATAGGTAAAGTAAGTATTGACTTTAAAATGTGATTCATTTGGTGAATGTTACAGGCATTAATTACGGTAAAAATAAGTATCTTCTAGAATTACGCGCAAATCTATTAAAATTCACAGGACTTTCGAAATACTAGCACCACTCTAAATGAGTTGATTCTTTGTAATGTAATCCAAAGCAATCTCAAGTAGAGATTACTATAACAGTAGTATGGTTCAGTCAATAGTGTCTTCATAAGCACTACCGCGCTGTTCCACACTTCAATCTGGATCACTTCCTAAGAGAAGTTCCTACGAGGCGACGAATTTTAGCTTAACGGCTTATAATAAACTATACTATACAAGAAGAATTGTTATAAGAATTACCTAAAACACTTAGGTACCAATCAATAGGAACATAATAGTTGTAACGTTCCTGATGTTCAGACGAGTTGTAGCTAGAAAACATAGGACGTGAAAAGTCGCACACACACACGTTTGATGAAATATGTGCGCGATAACGGAAACACCGCCACCGCCACCACGACCGACCGCGACCACCATCAGCAGCGGCGACCATCGACGATCACCGCGTGCGACAGAAAACGCGATGACTAGACCTGTCATCACGAAGGTCATCGTGTTATTTACTAATCTTAAAATTTTCACAAAATTTTCATTACACCGTTATGTAATATTCCATTCGTTCATGGGAACTTGGAAGCTTTTTTTTTGCAGAGACTTGAACCTGGTGCCTGTCAGAGATAAGTACTCATGTACTGCATAGAATTTACAGAGTAATAAAGTACAATGTAGGTGCTGAATAGAACAAAGGAAAAGGAAATAAAGAAGCTATCTGGTTAGACCGCATCCGGTAAAAATCGTGTTCAGTCGCCGTTGAATGTCCCGTGAGATTTTCCTTCTATTCCACAGTGTTAGCGAACTGATCGTTTACATTTATAACAGAGCTTAGTAACAGCATATAGCATGCAAGTTTTCTCCACATTAGTTAATAAAATTGAAGCATAAATATTTATAAAACTGTGTTCCACTCTTCAATGAGTAATGTGTGTTGTGAATGGATGTGCAGTTAATATTAACGTACCAGCACAGGAAAACTCGAACTGTAACTTCTTTCGAAATTGTTCTTCGTGAAAACGTAGGTTGTCATTCAGCGTAATGTAAGATGAAAGTGTTGTACCACGAAAAAACTCCACGTCAGTATTTTCCTTGTTGCCGAACGTCTAGAAAATAGTAGCGAAACTATGTCGATAAATGACTAGCCAGGTGGAAAAGGGACAAAGGGCGTAAATAATGAGGAAAATGGGTGGAGTGATTCCCATAATACATATTTGTCCACTGAATGCACACATATATATCTGTATATATATATATGTATATATGCATGATCATTTTTCATAAAGCTTTCCTTACATTAAAGAATAAAAAGCACTAACTTACATTCTTAACACATTGGCAGCCATATGGGTCACATATGATCCACATGAGGTGAAAAAACACCACTACTTTAACTTTAACTAGTCATATTTAATCTCAAAGTAAACTTTATTTGCTAAAATAAAAACCACTTAATAGAGTGTTCTAAGGTGCCGTAGCCTTTTTAAAATTTGCTTTCACGACCACACAGAATCGGCGAGACTTTTTCCAACTGGATGTGATGACCGCACTACATGCGTCGCTAATGTGCGCAGTTGCCTCGATTGTGTTGAAAAGATCCAAAGCACTCTTCAGTATTAACCAACACTTCTCGGTTTTATTAAAAGTTAAAAATAGAAACGACAGAGCGGTCAGACTTTCGCTATAAGAAGAAGGCTGTTTCATGCTGATAGCGAGCGTGTGGATGGAATGTCATACTATGGTTTTGTTTACACTGCTCCCTCGCCTTAGGAGCTTTACGAAATGTTTAGCACCGAACTCACCCAAAAAGACTGTGCTAAACGATAACTTAATTCTCTTGTTTAACTGACTTATCCGACCCTGCCCGGCATTATCCCCAAACTTTACTCTTTACGCTTATCATATGTTGCGAACTAGCAAGATTCATTCGTGGCCTTGAACAATTAGGCACAACTGGAAAATGAAGTCGACAATGCTTCCCAATCAACGGATTCCTTATTAAAGGATATTGGCCAATTACGTACGACTTGGTTATACTTGGATACTTGAATACTGTAAGAACTGTGTATTACTAAACAGAGGGGAATTTAAAAAAGACGTACCTAGTGCCCTGAGACCACTCAGTGTAACTTAAAACCTTAAATGTGCCTAAACGCTTCGCGTACTATTCACACTTAAACCGGCTACTCAGTTTTTTTTAGTACATCATATAGTAGATTGCAAGTGCTTCATGGATGAAGTAGTTGATACGCTGAAACGGTGGTTGAGAACCTGAGTAACAAGTTGAAAAGCAACGAGTCGTATTTTACACTTAGTAAAGTGTTATATGGACATAGGAGAGTAATAGACTTTGATCAATCACAACGCTAATCGTTCATCGATCTTCCATTTACAATAAAATGCTCATAAATGGTCACCGAAGAATTCCTTTTTGTCAGAATTTCTAATTCTACACAGTATAGTGGTAGTAAATGTACGGTTGGCCGTCCACAGGCAAGTGTAATTTCACTGGTTATCCTTTTTTTTAAAACTTATTTTATTCCACAGGTTTTTGCGTTAACTTATTCCCAACTATGAAAAAAAGAGTGGTTGCTTTCGATTTCAATTCATAAATATTTACTATTTTTTCGCTATCATAAATGGTTACATTACGCTTCCATGTAAATTCTGTGCGGTAGGTCTTCACGCGACATACTCAGTGGAAGACTCATAGAAAGCGGCGAGTGTGCAGAGTTATGTTAAATGTGATTGAAATCCTGGTTTAGCGTTTTCTCTGTTTGGTTATGGAGGTGTTTGGCCGAATAGATTGTTGTCAACTTGACCTTTCTAGGCTCTGAGGAAGGCGAAATCCGCCGAAACGTCAGCTTGTGCGTAAATAAAGAAATAAAATAGCACCTCGTGTTTGCTGAACAGAAGTAGAAAGAACTGTCATAAATGGGATTTTTTCACTTATCTATGGAACTCATCTTCTACTTCGATTTCTTCGTTTGCTGCGACCATCTTGTTCAATGCAATAGCAGTGATGGGAGGTTTGTCATCCCTGCGATTGTACGTCTTGAAGTTTAGCATGATATTTCGTCAACAAGCAACTGTAGAGCAGTCAGTAACGACGCAACTAAATCCATGAATCTAATGATTCAACCGCATAACAGTGTAACTCTGACCTTTGGCTAGTATCGACCGTGCTTTCGACAACGTTGAACGAATGGTTGATTTTCGAATTCCGATAATCAAAGTTCAAGGACCAAAGTTATTGGCACATTTGTCGAGGTGTTGAAAATAAGACGTACCAAACACATGCAGACTTTGCCCACATTTATTCTTTCACTAATAAGTTTGCACAAAGTTGGCTTCAAAAAAAAAACTTTATTGGGCCAATGTTTCGGCGCCTTCTACTTCTTCAGAGCTAGATTAATCCAAGTGGATATCAACAATCGCTCTGTGTAAAACGACACTACCGAATGAGGCTACTTCATTTAGAAAATGCTCTACTGGATACGAAACGATTTGACCATGAAGACCCACTTCGGAGGAAGGTACAACTGTGGAAAATCTGCTCCGATCAACTCGGCTCTCAAGAAGACAAAGGCGCCGAAATATTCACCGGTTGTTTTCTTTACTATTCTCCAACCTACTTGTCATGATCAATATGAAAAAATACTTGTTAACGAATATCGGTAGATAAAATTTCATACGAAACCGGATTCTACAGCATGCTTAGCGCACCAAAGCAACAAAGAACCCAAGAACTCTCTTCTTCACAAGGGCTAATGATGAAAAACTTGATGCATGGAGACGATGACGAATGAGGACTTTATTGATGCTTGTTCGGGTTACTTGGAAATTAGCAAGAAAGGAGGTGGTGCACATCCATCCCTCTTTGCAGTTCTTGGGTCGCAATTTTGTCTATGTTTCAACGTTGTCAATTTTGGTGTTGAGAAAAAAATATATAGACATGATGTAAATTCAACTAATAGTTTAAAGCACTAGGTAAGGGGTTTTCGAAAGAACATACACATTATTTGCAACCTGCTATGGCATTTTGCCCGCTTTTAGGAGCGCTAAAATTTTGTCAAGACATGAATTTTCGACTAATGGAAGTTACCACTATTACACTGGACCCAGTCGTACACTAGTTTTCTAAAGATTTTTAAAAGGAAGATAACTTAGTATCGCTTAAAGAACTACATTTGTTCAACTTAATGCAGCTGTAGTTACGTTCTAAGGAAAACCTTAGCAAAAATTTACATCCTTATAAGAACACTATTTTCTGGAAATTATCAACTACTTCTGATGCCCTATCCTACGCCTTTGGTTTCAGAAGTTCTTCAAGATAATATCAAATACTAGTTTTTTACTTCCACAGTTTAAATACTCCACTTTTTGCTAGCTTATATGTACACAAGCATAGAAGGAGAGTGTGGCGCAGTGGTTGAGGGCGCCCTGCAACACGCGTGGAATCGATCCTGGCGCCTATGGCCCACTAAGCCTTCCATCCCTCCTTCGGTCGGAAAATTGGTACCAGATTTGTCTGGGAAGGTAGCAGGAATGGCTGGATACATCGGTAGGCTACTGCAAATCATTGTAAAGGCCGGATGTGCATTCAATCGTCTCCAAATGGTGCTTAACGAAGTCGAATGAATGGCGCATTCCTCAGGGATTAATCAACGCCGAGAGCTTTATCCTTTATTCTTTGACCTTTATATACAGTGTTCTAAACGAAGCTGAGAAGAATGCCAAAAAAGCTCTATAAAGCTCTCAGCGTTCATCAATCGATGAGGGATACGCCATGCATTCGACGTCATTAAGCAACGTTTTGAGGTGATTGAATGGTATGCATACCTTGCCTTTCCAATGACTTGCGATGGCCTGCCGATGGACCGAGCCAGTGCTGCTATCCTCCCAGACAAGTCTGATATCAATTTGCCTACCGCGGAGGGATGGAAGGCTTGGTGATTCACGAGAGCGAGGATCGATCCCATGTGTGCGTCGCAGGGCGCCTCTGACCGCTGCGTCACACTCGCCCAAGCTGAGAATATTTGTTTAAAATTAATGCAATACAATGTCGCTTTCGTTGATTTAGGTGTAACAGGATATAGAATACGTAACATTAATAGATAACTCATTAAATAGACAATAACAATAATAACTTTTCGGTAAATAATTGTAAACAAAAATAAATACACATTTACATGATATAAATATAAAAAATGAAATAAATACAAATAGTAACCATTATTTATTAACAAATAACAATAATTTTTAATAAATAACAATTGTGCACTGGCCATAATATTCATGAAAGGCCATTTTCTCCTTTGCACTTTTAACTCATGGGATCGTTAAACAATTATGTTTGCTAAGTAAGTTATCGATTATGGTATAGCCAGCAAAGGCTTACTGGCAACATCGTCGTAGTTGTGGAGTGATTTTGGTAGCCGAAAGGCGACATTACTGCGAATTCATTCACAGTATGCCTATTGATACTAAGAAAGTATTTGGAAATTTTTCCAACAAGTTCGGCTAGGAATAGCATTGCAATAAAGCACAGATTAGCGAGCTTTTCGTCCTTACTTTCTCACTAGAAATCACTGAAAGAGGAGCGCTGCACTAAAAGGTGTCGTGTCCTTCCTTCTGTTTGTGCCACTTATGGAGGCGGTCCACTGTTCCAAATTGAGATTTTCTCCATTAGGCGAGTTATTCAATAAGCCACAAATGATGTGGATGAAATTACAAGAAACAGTGACAATGCTTAGATCATTGAGCTCAACGAATCACTGCTTTTTTCATTTTCTCGGAGATTTCATCGTATGGATTTAGCAATTTAACATCAGTGGTGTAACCAAGTGTGTTTGAAAAAGAAAACTTCAAGTTCTTCGAAAAATTTTCTCTCCTGGAGCAACTAAGCATCCCATTAGTTTAATTTGCTGCAAATTATTACCGCTTATCTTGTTAGCAGCTGGTGTTAATTCTTTTTAATCCGACTTAACGCAGACTTCAACAAATGTCATGCGATTAGAAATCGAGAAACTTCTTGAAAACCAAATAAAGAAGGAGAAATGACGAAATTTTTGGCATTCAGTGTCTTTTTTGTGGTTTCACTGCAGTAAAGTTTTATTGTGATTTGAACGAGAAGAATTTTATCTGACCTGAATATATTCCACGACGTGTTTTCTCGGTGGAATTACTGGTTGCGGTCCAACAGCCAGTGGTCCACAATGCACCATGCTGGTGGTTTCCTCATAAGTACCCTCTCCTTTTCGATCGAGCAAAGCGGAGCCCTGAAAACGAATTGAAGCAGTTGCAAACTGGCACCATATATCGAATCATTAGCTTTGTTTTGAATTGGAAAAGTAATATGATCTAATGCAATGCACTAATCATTTCTATGGGGAACGCGTACTGGAGTAGTTAGAAGTCTTGTAGTAGATACGTGCTTACTGGTTTGATCTTTCGCTCTGCGTTAAAAAAGCCCTCTGTGTTAGCCAAGTTGAAGCCGGGCTTGTCTGGTTGAATAGTAGTACTGAGGTGATATATTGCTAGGTTTCGGCAATCAATTGTATGGGCCAAATATGAATTTAGTAGCTTTTACAATACTATGTATGCAGTGAAATGTATGATCTATCCGTTGGGGCTTAATTACGCTATACGCTTTATCCCATATTAATAATACTCATATGAATGAAACAAATAGTGAGTAGAACCCAACGGCTGTTTATCATTCCATCAAAAAGTTGTTGTGTTGAATACATTTCAATAAAAATGGAAAAACATAGTAAGTAAATAAGATCTATTAATATGAGATATTGAGAGGGTTTCGTCATGTTTTCTATGAACAACCCGGTGAAGGTAGCTTTCTTCTAAAAAAAGGACACAAAATTTATTAAAAATAAACTAAGCAAAGAACTCAACTAGCTTTGAACTTGTCAGAGCTAGCACTAGTCTTCCAGGTTATTAGTCCCCTTGTTATTTTTTTCTAGCAAAGCAGAGCACGGCTCGAAAAGAAAATTATTAATGAAAAGTCCACAACAAAGAAATGGGCGAAAATTGACTCCTATAGTGAGGACATAAAATCTGCCCTGAACAAATATACTCAGTAAGAGGAGAATTTATGGCTTAAGCTGAATCAGTGCAACTTCTTCGCAAGCCGCATCTGTGTTGATTCGAAAAATTTCCCTTCATGGGAAAATTTAGTTGTTTATTCCAGAACACTTTACACTGTCCTCTTTTCCTTTGTTATATGATTTTGTTTCCCAATTACAAGAAAACACTGGAAAAGCTGTTTTAAGAAATACAAATCATTCAAATCAATACAACAGTAATTTGTCTCCACTGCAGTTAAATAAAGGATTTCCCTTCCCTTCACTGGTTTCTGTTTTCAGTTTTTTTTTTTCCAAAGAATTTCATGTTATAAATCGCATTTTTACGTCCATATTTGTTTTACGATACAAATCCTACCAATAGAACTTTGTAAAGAAACCCTTTACTTGCACAACTCATAAATATTTACTATTTTTTCACTTTTCATACTCACTTTTTTGTAAGCTTCTAATAAAAATCACCAGAGGTGTAGGCGCTTGAGAGAAGGTAATTCATTTTTTTTTCATAAACTATCATAAAATAAGTATGTAAATAATATCGATAAATATTAAAGAATATGAATTGTCTAATATTATCCACTACAAAAGGGCGCGTGTGGCGCAGTGGTTGAGGGCGCCCTGCAACGCACAAGTGGAATCGATCTCTACGCCTATGACCCAATAAGCCTCCCTCCATCCTTCTGGGGTCGGCAAATTGGTACCAGACTTGTCTGTCTATCATCACTGACTTAGGCTACAGGGAGTCATTGTAAACGCCAGATATGCATCCAGTCACCTCCAAACGATGCCTAACGAAGTCGAATGCATAGCGCATCCCTCAGAGATTGATCAACGCCAAAAGTTTTATCGTTTATTCTTTACCCACCACAGCTTTGATAGAAGTCGTCAATTCCTCCACAGACTCAAGATTCTTCACAACCTATCCATTTGAAGACAAAAGTACCGTTAACAATTTTTTTTTGCAGGAGAAGACTTTGAACATGAAAAAGTTTTGAACTGTGAGCAATTTCTATACAATTCATTTTACGTTTTCGATTCAGTCCTCTTCAGATTTTTTGTGAATCCCTACGCTTTTCAACATTACATTGTTGGACATAAAATAGTATCAGTGAGGAGAATCCCCTGTGTTTCAAAGAACAATTTAGATGCCTCTTCACTTCCAAACAACTCTTAAACAAAGAAAAATTGACTCTGAACTGGGATTTTTCGGTTTCCTCCTCTTTTCTGACAAATTTACTACAGCACGAATGACTTGCAGCTGCAAACTACTCAATACACGACACGTTGTTGTGTAAATATCAACGCCAAGTCAATATTGACCGTGGTTCGTTGACAAAATCCAAACGGTTGGTGATTAATATGTTTTATTTCGTCAGCAAACTAGCGATAGCTGAAAAAAAAATGACTGCAGCTCTGAATCCATCAAAAATCTGCAAAGGAAAAAAGGACTATACGTAAAGTAACTCTATAGAATTGCTTAATGACGTTAGAGAAAGTTTTTTCAGTAGTTTTAACATCTAGCTTACGATGACTAAAGGGGTAAATTGAGATGCGTATAGTTCAGTGGTTAGAAGCGCCATGTGAACCGCAATTTGTCTTTGCTTCGGCCCTGTGCCTTGAATAAAGAAGCCCTCCATCCCTCTGAAGGCGGTAAATTGGTGCCGGACTTCTCTGTAAGGATAACATAGCTGAATGATGCGTTGCTAAACTATCGTAAGTCATTGTATAGGCCAGATGGCCAGATGTGCATCCAGTATCCTCTACGATGCAACGAATGCGTTCGAATGCGTGGCTAATCACCATGGAATTGATCAGTGGTGAACAACTTTTTCAAATCTAACTGACGAGATGAAATCGTCAAATTTTCGAAATGTATTATATAATTCGACTTTTAGAGACTATCATACTAAGAAAGTATCCGTTTGGCGAGCACTCAGTGCAGAGCTGTCAAGTTTTTGAGCAGCGTTTTCCCGTAATACACGACCATCTCGCTCTTTACGTTCACTGATCGACTGTGAAACTTCGCTTGTCCTCTCAACGCTTTTCGTTTTCGTCGATTGACCAGCACCTCAAAACGTATGAGATTATAAACGAAAAGCGTCACTACTGATTTGAAATATCCACAAATGAACACTAGACGTGAAATCGATAATATGGTTAGCAATAATGAGTAACTCCATTGTAATAGATGCGCATCTATTTAACGCTCACAGTTATCACGCTGATGTCATTGAGTATTACCGTATGCGGCACTTAAAAGCTACCCTAAACCGGTAAAAAGTACGTTTATGACACTTTATCCAGTATGTTTATATATATATATATATGGAAAAAGAGAGGGATAATAGATAAATAGGATTTTCTCAAGAACCACGGAATGACAAGAAAAGCATTGATGTAGGATTTTACTATTAAAGAGAAACTAGGATATAGCGATACCGTAAATGGTCTTATTTCGTAATACACCGAAATCCTCTAAAAATGAAAAGTTAAGGAAACATATTCCTGAAATGAACATTTAAATTTACAGTTGGAAGAGATGTAGTCGTACAAAGAAAGGCATGGTTGGGTAGTTGCTCAAATTTGGTATAAAAGGAATTTCACGAACACTGCAAAACATTCTCAAAGCCGATATTCACCATACCTCAGAATGAATTAACAGTATTTACCTATATTGCTAATCTTAATAATAAATGAAAATATTGTGCAAAACACAGATATAGAAGAAACCTGGCAACGGAAGATCAAGAGATTTTAGATCTGATGAGTCTCGTCTCCGAAATCTGAAGCAAAGTCGTTGTCAGAGCGAGTAAAGGAAGCCGCTAAAAAGAGTTTTCACCTCTAATTGCATTACCTATCAAAGGGATCACGTTTAAAAAATTCGCTTTTCTCATCCTCATCCTCTTCGTTCATTGCATTCCTACCATCATGAAAATGTCGAGTTATGCTTGGACCACCGGCACCACGACTGGATATCGTCACCTACTCATTCTTTTGTTTAGCTTTCGTTTTCATTTACACGTAAAATTTTGGAATGCACAAAATCTATCTGGTGCTTCAAAACCTCGAAATCCCGATTAAGTTTGAAAATGCATTACTCTTTAGGAAATTGTTCTAAGATTGGAATGCAAGAGAAATTTCCTGTCATGCCTGCTTTCTGCTTTGTTGAACATTCACCGTCCTTGTTTTTTTAACTCGAACTTCCGTCCCATCTGGCATTTTCTGCACTTCTTCTTCACATAACTGAAAGTTACTTTTAACGGTAATTTTTTAGATGTTCTTGAATTACAGTACTACATAATGTTTCCGTTTTTTGAAGACCATCTGAAGACGATACAAAACTTCCATTTCTTCGTCCATCTACAGGTATTTCACATTTTCTATCGTCTATTTGTTTTTATGACCTCTCAGCAAATATTGCAGAAAGCATAGAATAAAGCCTATAGGAGCTCTAGGTTCAGAAAACCCGCTCAATTCCTAAAACCATGTAGTATTTCTCGAATATGGGAAAAATTAACATGAACTATTTCTTTCAAGTTTTACGAAGATATCTAAAGAACATAAAAGTTGTTCGCCCGCAGTTCAGTGATGATGTTTTTTTCAAAACTTATTTTCATGACCCGTCATCACATCTATTGTGTGGATCCCTGTACTTCTTGCATTCGTATCGTTTTCCTCCCACTCATTTTCATTCATTTATTTTTCGTGTGTTATTTCTGCTGCTGCTTGAGGATTTCGTATTAGTGTAGCACAATGCTGGTCGGTCAAGTTCGTTCTCGTTGCGATCTTTGGGATAGCTTGGCCATGGCGTTTCCACGTGGTTAGGAGGAGAGCGTTAATGAAGGGGTTGAAACAGCGCCTTTGCTTCCAAATTGACAGCGTCACCAACGACTGCGATATCCCATATGAATATAAAGAAAACCCTTTTAAATGGAATTCATTCGCAGCCGAAATGAAAAAAGTGAAAAGGAGCCGAAGGAAGAAAATTAAAAGAAAGGAACAAAACCACATATGAAGAAAGAAAGTGAAGAGAAGAAAAGAGAATGTTCAAAACATTTAGTTGGAAGATAGAAAATGCGCAGTAAATAAGTAAAGAAAGGAATTAAGTTGTAAATATTTAGAAAGCAAACATGTATACATTGAAAGAAAAGAAATAACGGAGTGAAGACGATGACAGAAATTTTCAAACCCACCTTTTGCCCATGCTTCTCTTCTCGTTCCTCTTTTCGTTCATCTGTTGCGACCACGTAATCATCATCTGAATCTCCTATGTCCAAATCGGGAAATGTTGGAGAAAATTTTGGCACATGTCTAGAAGTTTCTTTAAAGAGCAGCAATAATCTGAGCTGAAGATTTAAAACACCTCAAGTTAAGTTTATTAAGCAAATCATCCAGTGTTTGTTCTTCTTCAAGAGTTGGTCTAAAACTATCTGTACTAGGAGTTGCGGAGCTCTTGCAGCTTTCAGTTTTTTCGTTCTTGGCACTGGACGGCGAAGTTACTCCTCCACTTACACTGGCATTGCTGGTTCGGGTGCAGCCTCGTACAGCCTTGAGAAAAGTGAATAATCTCAATGTTGCCAATGATAAAGAAAACCAGAAGAATTGTAAACAAAAATTAAGCGTTTGAGGCAAGAAGTATGCTTAATACCATAATCGAAAAAATATAGCAACTACTAGGAAAAGTATAAAGCCTTCGGCTTTGATTAATCCCCGTGGAATGCGGCATCTACTGGACTTCATTAATCAACGTAGAGGTGATTGAATGCAGATCTGTCCTATAAAATGTGCTGCGATGGGGTACTGATAGAATTGTGAATCAAATCGTCATTTTTACTCTCCCAAGAACTCCGATACAAATTCGACGACCCCACATTGACGGAAGGTTTAGAGAAACGGGATCGGACCAACGATCACTTCTGCGTGGCAGGGCAATTCTAACCACTGCGCCACAGGAGCGCCACGGTTACCATGAATATGTTATTAATATTATTGAAATATTTGTTAAATATGTGTAAGCTAGCGCAGTGTCTTTGGTTCTATTCTTTCACTGAAGATTCCTAGGCATCTAGGTGAATCAAGAGACCGTCGTAGAATTGCTAGGATAGTGTCAGACTTGGACGTTTTGAATGGAATCTAATATTCCCCTAGGTAATCTCCGCAAACTACCGCACTGGCCTCGTCCACTCTCACGGTTTTAGCTTTTTATAAATGCGGAATGAGTATAACGAGAGCAAAGACTGTTTTCAGCCATAGTCCCAGAGCGCTCCATGGAGACGAAAATCACCAGTGATTTAGCACGAAACACTATTTTTTATCATTGGTGAAAATGTGCCCATGGATGTAGCTTTAATGGCCACCGAGACTTTGATGTACCCCATGGAAGGTCAGACAAGCTCTTTCTGAGCTATAGGTAAGTTTTTTTTTTCCTACCACGCACTCCGGAACCACCGCCATAGTACCATTCGATGCATACTCTTTCAGTCTTTAATTTGAATGACTATTATCCATTATCCTGCTAAATAGCATTATCGTGTAGAAGAGTAAGTAAGTCTACCCTGACGGTTACAGGAAACTCACTGCTGAATTCGTGGCTCAGTGTTACAATATTAACTTCTTATCTAGCATACGTGGATGCACTTTACATAGCTTTGCGACCATTGACCATTTGTGTGGGACAAAATTTTGAATGGAATACTGCTTGAATATATTGTTTAAAAAAATCAAGCGTCTAATAAAAATTTAAATTCCAGTTAAATCCAAGGAATTGAATATGATGAAAGAAAAAAATAACAAGGAAGAAGTGTGAACGCCAAGAAAAAATAATTGAATCTTACTTGTGAAAGTTGTTCAACAGCATTGCGAATGTCTTGAGTCTTTGGGCTTGTGTTCGCTTTTATACATTCTCGATCTGTACAACGTAAAAGTTGCACAAGAGCACCCTGAAAATGATTTAAGGATGATGAAGGTGACGTGAAGCAGATGCACCAACTGCGTTTGTAAATGTTACCCACAGATAGTAGGGATAACGTAATTTTCGACCGATCAAAAAAGACAGTGAAATCGAGAGATGAAGAAGAAAAAGCGAGTAGGGAAACAGAATTGATTTTTGACAAAAGTGGTGACATACCTGAAGTCGTTTGTCTTTATTATCACAGTTCACTGAAACGACATCAAAAACAGCCGTCGTACTATCTGTAACAGCAGAAAGGATTTTTGTTTTTTGGACAGATTTTCATCAGCTTTCAAAACTGTTGTCAGTCTACTTTTTAGAAAAGTATCGAAAAAACTAAACAAAAGAAGATGGTAGGTTTGGTTAAAACTGAAAGGTCGTAATCGATGGAGGCAAGTTTTAACTGAGCTATGTTGTGAATAGATTTAGTCCGTCTAATTTTTAATATACTAATTAACAATATATAATCACCTACAAAATGTAAAAGATTCTGAAAAGGAAGGTTAGACATTCGACCAAAACTTTTTTCTCTTCAGAAAAACGATTCCGACTATTTCGGTTACAAAAAAAGAACGTTTCGGATGAAACACTGCTGAGAGAGCGATCTTAAAGACGTACTTAGTATCAAATGTGGGTTTTGTGATGAGACAACTTGCTGTAAATATCTGAGAGCGACTTCAACTTCTCGTGAACACGACATTCTCTGAAAAATGACAACTGATTTTCTCCTCGTTGTGCTTACTAGTCACCTCTGCTCATGAACGAGTTGTTGTATGAGTCAAGGATGGGACGATCAATTCGGTGGAGTTCTACTAGCGAAAAGCTGAGGAAAAATCCGCTTTCTTCTTTTTATTATACTGATATCAGTCATGACTTATCAAGTTGATAATACTTCCATTCATCCATACCAATCTAAAGGAATACACTTAACATTATACTAACTAATAGTGCTTAATATTTAACAACTTCATTACCATACAGTTTTTAAGCATTCAGAATGTCCGATATAATTCTTGTTGTAGCAATAGGATTTCCTCTTAAGAATGTTCGCATGATTGTTTGGCAAACCCCATTTGATGATTTACTAGTTCTTCCCAAATGAAACGATATTCTTAGCACCGTAATATTTTTTCGTTCTGCTTTCTTATCTGTGTTTCGAAAGTATAAATAAACTGAAAAAGCGTTCTTTGGCTTATTATTTTGTTCTGAGAATCCTATACAACAGCCACATTCTTTTGTCGAAAAGTTGTTGGAGAGACATTAAATTTGCAATCAATGAAAGAAATGATGAGGCATGAGATGTTTAGAGTTAGTAACCGTAAATTATAGGTAATTAGAAATCTGGAGAGTTAAATTTCAACTTTTTCTCTATTGTTTCAATGTCCTCGAAAAACAGCGTTGCGGTTTCTCTGAAGAGATCGTGACGTTGCTCAATTTGATACGAAACGGGGCAGAGGGGTGAGGGCAAATTATCGAGTCATAACGAAGCAGTGACGCATTACATCAAAACACGATCTCTTTGATGAGAATATTTTCAAATCTCAGTAGATTAGTCGCTACATTTAGGTGCTCAACGATAATTCAATATTCAAGAGTACATCACAGAAAGTCGTAACTCGGTAGCGAAATGGGAGCTAACACATCTGGGAAAAAAACAGAAATTTCGCTAGCTATAATAAGAAATTCGAATTGCTTTTGCAATTTGGTCAAATCAAAGCCGTGTAGTTAGAGTAGTGAGGTGTATTCAGCCGATAGAAGTTAGTTCTATCATTCGAGGGGCATCACTGAGCTAAGTTAATTCATCCAAACTATTCAGTAGCACATACATAAGGAGGAACGTTTTCTATCAGCAACAACTTAACGGAATGATGATGGAAGTGTTTGAGGAAATTGTTCGTAGGATGAGAGAAGCATATTTGAACAAGTGCTTCAAGCTGTAGTACTCAACAGAGTCGCCTCCACATGAGCATGAGTGGATGCTGGTATATTCTTCGAAACTCAAGCTCTCGTCGACGTTTTTCGGACGCAATCCGTTGAAGTGTGATCCAGATGTGTCACTCAGTTCTCTCACCAATACTGAGCTATGCTACCAAAAGACTACTGGTTGGTTTCCATTGATTTTAGTGCTTCTCTGATACCAGAGATAAATGAATGCGGCAAACTTTCGTCAGAATAATCACGGCAAACGTTTGGGAATACATTAGAAAGAGTGTTTGATGCAAGAATTCAGCTCAGCCAAAGAGTACACTATGACTAATCGAAGACTTTTAGACAAACAATGCAGTACGCAGACATTGTAGTTCTCTATTTCAAACAAAAGACTTCGACGCAAGGTGCCATGGCGAACATAAAGAGTTTGCTAGAAAATCGCTAAAATCGTTTGTTCACAAATTTCGGTGCTTCATTGGCAGCTATAAAGGGAACGACGAGAAACAATGTTATCAGTGAGTATAGCATCATAATCACAAGTCCAAAGTGGGGCCCTGTCAATTATGATTGGCGTTGATATAGGTGACTTAACTGGTTAACTGGTGGAATGTATTGGGATGTGGGATAGAGTCAAGAAAGTACGAATTTCGTGGACCGTACACGCTCTAGTCGGCGACACAGATCGATTGTAGATATATGGCAGTGATGGTGACGGCGGCTCGTCTTGAGTCAACAACCAGCCTTAATAATATCTAATTTGTAAACGGGAATAAAGGAGCACTTGTCATCATTTTTTTTTTTTGATATGGAAATGTCCATCACAGTCAACCACAGACAGTAGCGCAAGTTGAAGTTCGGAGCTGAGGAACAGGACCTTGAAAAATCTGCAGAAATTGCTAAGCCCACTTGGAACTCTTTTTCAAGCAATAGTTGCCCTTTCAACAGGAGCAGATGCATTGACCGTATCATAGACATTGACAATGAGCATTCAATGGCTTCGCCAGTGACAACGAGGCGTTGATATAGGTGGCTTAACTGGTTAACTGGTGGAATATTTTGGGATGGGGATCTCAAACCCCCGCTAAATTTTGTGGAGCAGAGGAAGTCTTCCCCTTACAAGTCTGCCACAACTTTCTTGATCCAGGAGGGATAGAAGGCTTGCTTTACCAGTGATGAGATTCTGTTTGGAGGAATCAAAAAATCATTCGCTTGTTCCGTTATCTCGTTTAGACAGGCCTTTCAAACTAAAATATCTACTGAAGGCTTGGAGAGTAGCTGTATGAAACTATGCCGTATTGCAGGACCACGTTGATAGGCAGAGAGCTCGCTTTTCGGAGGCTTGCACTTTATCGACTCTTTATGTGGTGGAAACAGACTTTTTTCATTAAGCATTTCATACACATTTTGACGTCTAGGTTCGATTTCTTATTTACAAGCGGGTGAGAATTTGCATTT